GCCTCCTGCTTTCCTCAGGGTTGGCCATTCTTGAGCTGCATGGGTTCTCTTGTTTCAGCGTTTCCCAACTTTCAGGCAGTTGTTTTGCATCCTTAACAGTCCTTTCGGGCAGCTTCTTCCTATCTAAGTTTGAGGTTTTATCAGGTAAAACAAAAATCCTGAGCACAACACCTTGAGCCATAAGGCCATGGAGAGTTCAAAAAGAAAAGAAAAAAAAAAGGCATTTTTGTGTTTTCAGTCTTACTAAGCGACTTCTTTCCTGAGTTCTATTCTTAGAAGTCACTACCTTGTCTGACAGCATGAAGGTAACCACTCGATCAGTGTGGAAAATACATGCTGGTAAGTCTTTTAGCAACAGCAGATAACAGGCAGCATGTGAGGCCTGCAGAAGAAAATGGGGGAAAGGTGCAACTTTCAGAAGTGCGTTATGGGAGATCATTGCATTTGATAAAGCCAGTGGGATTCAGCACCTGAGGCTGTGTGGGGGCTGCTGACGCATCCCAGGCCGCCCAGCACTGCTCCGGTGCATCCCCGTGCAGGGAACCGAGTTCAGCCCCAGCTGCAGGAAAGGCCACGGTCTGGGAGTTCGGTCCTTAAAGGAAATGCTGTCTCTAACGGGTATTATTTGCTTTTGTTCTTTTATTGTTATTTTCTTAAACAGTTCGGAGCTAAGATACGGAAGAGATATCACCTCTCAAACTGAATCACAGATGATGTTTGCTCTTCATCCGTTTTTTCATGGAACTACATAGCAAAATCAAAATAAATTTCTCATAGGCAGCCGACTTACCTATGGGAAACCTTCAGAGAAGGACAACGTTCTTCTGATGTGTATTTCCCTGGGTTTATTCAAATTATGGACACTTTGCTATAATTTCCAGCCTTGTGAACTGGTCAATATACAGTGAACATTCATTTTGCTATAATATTTTCTCTTCTCTCTCAGCTAGGAAATAGGAATTGCATTGTTCTAATTCAAGTGGATAATTGAAAAGCGACATGAGTTACACTGGGGAAATCATAGAACCATTCAGGCTGGAGAAGACCTCTCAGATCCCCAAGCCCAACCAAGCCCACCGTGCCCACTGACCACATTCCCCAGTGACACATCCCCACGGCTCTGGAGCACCTCCAGCAAAGTGACATCCCCACTCCCTGGGCAGCTGTGCCAGCACTGACCACTCTTTGAAGAATGAATTATGCTCAGTTTCCAACCAGACCCTCCCCATGTGCAGCTTGGGGCCGTTCCCTCTCACCTTATCACTGTTATCCGGGAGCAGAGGCTGATCCCTCCCCCCCACCTCCTTTCAGGAGTTGCAGGGAGCAATGAGGTCTCCTCTGAGCCCTCTCTTCTCCAGACAGAACCACCCCAGTTCCCTCAGCTGCTCTCCATAGGATGTGTGCTCCAGACCCATCACAGTTGCACTGCCCATTCTTTAGGCAAACTCCAGCACCTCAATGTCTTCCTCTTAGCCTGGGGTCCAAATCTCCATGGTCACACCACTCTTTTGTTTTGTAGCTGGTCAAAACCAGGGGCAAAAGTGAAAACAGAAGACCTTGTGGGATAGCAAAGCCCACCCTCACCTGAGGACATATTTTGCCTTCTTAGCAAGAGCAGGGCTGCTCTGCCTGCAGGCAGGATGTTTCCAGCAGGATGTTCTGCGTGGACTGCAGTGCCCTGCTGACACAAACAGTGAGAGCTGGTAGATGGAGAACCCTGACCATGTGCAGCAAAGTGTCCCCGTCACACCGTGATTTCCCAGTAGCTGCAAGACCCTTTCCAGGAGTTTAATCACATCCTTTGGAACCCTGACCTATCTGAATCAGCTGAGAAGAACCTCACTGCTAAATAATTGCTGTACAATTGTTAAACAGAAGTGGGCCCATTAATCTGCCACACATTTCAAACAACCAGCAATTTTTTTCTCTCTGACTAAGAGTGTTTGTCCCACAGAGCCATGGAGGCGGTCCTATGCAGCCCACATCCATCACTGAGCACCATCCGAGCAGCACGAGGAGCCATCCCCAACCTGAAGGTGAGCTGATGGGAACGGCACAGGGCTAAAAATCAATCCGCCAGACCCAGGTCACTCAAGGATAAAGGGGAGAGATTTCAGTCTCCGCTGTGTGGCTGTCAGGTTGTTATTCCCTAGCCAGGGCACTGAGAAATAGGTTTCTCAGGCATGTTCCTGCTTGTGAGCATAAAAGCAGATCAGCATCGACGGCCACCTCACTGTGTTGTCACATATTTGTGTAGACAATTGAAAATAGAAACCCTCAGTGCCACCTGGGGGAAGGCCTGTGCCCAGGGTTTGCCTGCTCGTTGTTTCTGTTTTTCTTTCATTGAGAGCACATGAGAAGAGCTGGCCTTTTTTTCCTTTTTCCTGTTCATGTTGCTCGTTTTTCATTTCTCTAACCAACTTCCCCGTTTTGGTTCTACATCCACGACTTTCCAACTCGGCTCTGTCAGCCTGATGCTGTGTGCCTAATTCCCTTCCTAGAAAATCACCAGCAATGGGTGTGAATGCGCAACATCCCATGGAATAATTTAGGTAATAGCTGAAGCCCAAGAAACAGGAGCAGATGAGAGCACGACTTTGAGCTTCCTCAGAACTGCACAGTCACTTCAGATGAGGATCCACTTCTCTTGTGTTTATTTTATCAGGCCGTATGATGTATTTAATTCCACGGTGAGATACAATTTTGATTCCAAGTGGTAATGAAAGATTTATTATTTGTCAGCCTTTTTTTTTTTTTTTTTTTTTTGCTCTTACATCAGTGACACAGATCTGTTCTTTCTATATAGCTCAAGTGCACTCTGCACTGATGCTGTCGTAGCCCCTGCCAAATCTGGGCTCAGCCCAACTCCTACCTCACATGTCCTCAGTTTAGAACAGTTTCTGAATCCTTGACCTTGCTCTTAGAAAGCTTACATGACCCTGTCCATCTTTTCATTAAACCAGTGTAAATAAGCAGCTGGCACACGCTCACGGCATGTGGAGGAACAGCACAAAAGCCCCAGCAAACAGCTTGTTGTCTGCAACAAAAATGCATCGTGTTCTTGTTTCAAAGGCGTTCCATTTCAGTGCAACCTAAGTACATTAATCATTAATAAATGTGTGAGATAGCAACGATGTCACACAAAGGCATTTCCGCTCTGCTCTCAGCAGCCTTTCCTGCAGCTCCTTGACTTCTGCTTTCCCCAGCGTTGGCTCAGTCCCAGCACTGTGTGTCTGCTGAGCTCTGACGGCAGATGGCATCTCTCTCAGAAACAGAGGGGCAGAAAAGATTATTACAGGAGAAAGCAGAGCAGGAAGCTCACTGCCATTGCTCTGCCAGGCTGCTGCTGTTGACAAGGTCACATCATTCACTGATCGATGGCAAAAAGCAGACATGGGGCCTTCCCCATTCTTGCCTAGGCAGAGGAAGTGAAGCGCTTTGTTTCTCTGTGTTGTATTGGAAGCACCAAAGGAACCTGGTCCTTTTTTAAATAACGAGATCCACACATCATTGAGTCACCAGTGTGTGTGATCTGTGGCTTCACAGTCACAGCACAGCATCATTGCCTGCACATGCAGTACTGTTGCTAACTGAGCTGCTTCCGGCTCTCTGTTCCCTCTCCTGTGATTTGCTCATGGGCTGATGGAGAAGGGAAAGAGAAGCTGGGTAGTTTAACAGATGGGATGAAACTGCCATACTCCTGTGACTCCTCCACCTCAAATCTGTTTCAAAAAATTAATTTCAGCTATCCTTTGAACTAATGTATTGTAAGGTGGCATTTTCACATATGCTAAGAGATTGGCTTTCTCATTTCTTTATCCAAGAGGTGTGGCCCATTAGCCACAACCCAAATCATGATATCTCTATTCTCCATTATTCAAACCCAAGGTGAACAAATGTAACGAAAGCACAAAGGTCATTACAACATATGCTTATATTTATTTATATTTATACAAGGAAGTGGATGCTTTACTCCCAGTCCGAGAGATATAACATAACTTGCTTCTACTGAATTGCTTACTGACCTCAGCATTAAGAGAAATCAGCTCTTGCTTCCATTCACTGACAGGATTCTTTTGGGCCTAAGCTGTAAATGTGTCCCCTATGCCAGAAGTTGTTACAACAAACACCTCATCTGTTTTGTGTAACTACAGCAGAGCGTAGGGTTATGAGGTACAACAGCCATGCTGTCCAACTTTGATATCTTAATTGGTTCTGAGAAAAACAAAATAGAACTACTTGTTCTGTTACTTGTTACAGTAACATAGGAAGAGCTGAACTAAGATTTGTTTGTTCTCAAACAGCTCTTGTATGCTTTTGCTTTTATTTTGGAGCTGAAGCCTTCTGACTGGGGCAGCAGCAGAGCAGAGGTGGCACCCACTCTCCTCTTTGCATCACCCTGCCAGAAATAGTTCAGAGAGTTCATGGTGATGATAAATGGACATGAACAGAAACCGAATCCATAAAGTAGGGCATTATGTCACTTCTAGTCTAATGCCTGCTGTGGGTTTTGAATTCTCAAAATGAAATATTCTATTTTTCCTACTTTGCATCAGCAGTTCACTGATTTTTCCTGCAAATAATTGAATAATCCAGCTTTTTTTCTTGCAGCCAGGAGGATTTTTGTCACTATAGTCATTCACATCAGCAAACAGTCATACATAAGTTAAATACAATGGAATTAATGAGAGATATTAAAAATTCACGCCTGGTAAATTGCTTCAGAGCCCAAGAATTACAATTTGTATGTGTATTTGCCTAACAAAATGCCTTTATTGTGAAAGTTTGACTGATAAAAGCCAATTAATCAATTACAACATGATGCCCTCACTTTACCAAATAGTCAAATGTTGAAAGGCAGCCTTTGCTGATGAAAGTTTGTACCAGCTGGAGCCCCTTGGACAACAAAGGGCTTTGTTGGCTCTGACCAGCTTCAGCTGGGCCTCTGCTCACACCCTGCCCACAGACCAGGAGCCCATTTAAGCTTGGCCCTGGAGATCATTCAATTTCTGCTTGTACTGTTGAAGTGTTGGTCATCAGCTGAGCTGCAACTGTGCCTTCCTCTGGCCATAAACCCTGCTGATTTTGGATGCTAACCTGTGGATTGATCCTGCCTCGACCTCAGACTTCTTCCATCACCAAACAGTTGCTGATGGACTGGGTGTTTGGCTGCCATCCTCAGGCTTGTCCTGCTTGCTGTGCTTGGTTGCTGTGAGGCTGCACTCTGACAGCGAGGCGCCTGCCTTGCCAGCTGCATTGTGCTTGGCTCCCAGCTCCCTGTCTTTCAGATAGCAAATGATTCTTGCTGTATTTCTACAGTAACTGTGTACTTGCCAATAAGATTGATGTAGAATGTTACAAGTTTATTTTAAAGAAGAGCTGTCAACAAATAATAATAAAAAAATTGCAATCAAAATCGATAATACAAAACATCAGGATGCTTTAGGTGACTATGTTTAATGTAGAGGAGGTAATTGCTTTTGTTGACTTGAGTGAAGGCTTACATTTGACTTCTCTCTTCATCTGGCCAAGATATCCTTAAGTCAAATTCATGCATGGAAGGTAAGTTGGCACCGTACAGCATGATTGCATGGCTTTTAGAGGCACTAGGTACTGTTCTCTTGGCTATTGGATGCAGGACAGTTTTACTCAGATTTACCGTAAGGTCAGTCTCATCGCTTCTTACTGATTTGGGCTGCCAAATAGTGCTGGTCCATACGCTGTGCCTCCCGTAAGTGTATTATCTCCTCACTCCAAGCACTCGTTTCTCTCCAAGTCAAAAAAGTCCACATTCCTCCCTATGGATGACCATTATTAGATACAGCACGGACTGAAGTGTATTCTCTTCAACAGGTAGAAAAAAGAAAAGGCTGAGGAATCTGGAGCAGAAGCAGCAGACATGGATGGAACAAGCACTCCTAGGGTGGCGTGCAACACTGAATACAGCCGGGAGCCTATGGCAAACCTATGTGAGGTGATGGGGGCAGAGCGGGTTCTCTAATTAACAGCTGCGGTAATTACGGGCTGACCTGGTGCGGGGCGGCCGCTGTCCGTGGTGCTGGAGGCGCCGGCGCTCTGCTGCCGAGGGCAGACGTGGCGCTGGGGGTCGCGGTGAGCGGGCACAGTGGGGATGGGTCGGGGGAGGGCCAGGTGAGCCCAGCCTTTCCCAGCCTTAGTGATTCTACGATCTGAGCCCGCTTCCTTATTTCCGCTTTATAGAGTTGTGGCTGGTAGTCTTACAAAAAAAATTGTAGCAAATATTTGTGATAAAGGTAATTTTCCACCACGCTTAATGATGGTGAAGACAGCTTTTGTTATGCTTGCAATGGCAAACTGCACCTCGGAAGGAGGAGTTTGTTTTGTGACGTCCTGAGCCAGCCAGTTTAAACTCACCTGTGTCGTTAGATGCAAAAGAAGGTAAAAGAAATGCTTTGGCTTCAAGAAAAGCCTTGATGAGAAGCTCATGCCTCTCTAGCTCTGGGATAGGGCAACCACAAGACAGAAAGCCACAGGCTTTCTGGGCTCCACGGTTACTGAAATTGTTTTCAAAATGATTATTCATCAAAACCATTTTATATTTTTGGACATGCCAAATTGAATGACCATTGTGGATTCATCATCTCCCCAGTTAGCTCAAAGGTACAGATTAAAATATATTATCTGTGTGTGAATACATCTATCTATATACATATACATCTTCTCTATTCCTCTAAGCAGTAGTTCTGCTTGTAATAACGAGAACTGGGTGATCAGTTCACCAGTGAAAACCAGACAGAGGACCAGACAAGGTGAAAACTCAAGGCATCAATGCAACTTCAGATCTAGGTAAACGAAGAAGGAGGAAGAAAGTTCCTGCCGAGGCACAGGAAGCAAGGACATGTGAACTGCAATGAAAGGAGGGGAGTTTCTGCTTGCTCAATGTAGCTGGGATGTTTTGGAGCTGGGTATGTTGTGGTTTGATGTCAGACTAGCTCACTTGGAATGGGTAACATAGCTCCAGAGAAACACTGAGAGATGATGGAAGAAGTTCAAACATCTTTCTGGTCAGCACACAATGGAAGCTAAAATAGTATCCTGAGTAGTTATATTTACTTAGCAGATTCTTGCACTGATTTCCTCAACAAATGCTGAATTAGACAAGGGGAGAATGATCTCATAATTCTGCAACGAAACAGAAAAGAGGGCATGATTACCAACATAAGAAACCAGGAAGGCAGACAGCTGATACTGAAATGTGGGGGAGTGCTGAGTCACTGCACTGAGTGCTGCCATAGTAACGATTTACCAGCTGGTTGGGGATGAAAACAGATTGAAAAACCTGACATAAAAGTTGGGCAAGTTCCAGCTTGAAATACAGTACACACTTCTTAAAAGAATTTATAAAATGGAGCACTTTCAAAGAGTGTTTTTTTGTATTTAGTGTTACTTTGAGCAACAGGATTACAGCAGAATGTTGAATGAGCACAGAAGAGAACCGAAAAAAAAAATAATGGATATTTCTTCTTTCAGACAAATGTTGCAATGGTGAGAATGAGTAGGAGCAGCTTTAAATTTGTTTGGTATTATTCAGAGATGTGGTATAGCATGCGTTCCCTATGGCCCAGACCAGAGTGTGAAGGAGCAGAGCAGCAGGATCTCCTGCTAGTAACAGAGTTAAACTGGAAAACTTTACATAGCTTGGAGAGGGGTGTAAGCTCAGATTCCTTGGATGGCCTTTTCTGACTATATTTTTTGGTCTGGGTATTAGGAATACTGTTGTTGTATCTCCTGGCATCTCCTGCTGGCCAAAGGTATGACCTCTGTAAGAGCCGACTGTGAAACTGCAGCAGTTTGGAACATTTATTTGACTCATGAATTCTGAGTAGGATTCTGGGTGGTTTCTTACTGTGGAAAATTTCAACATCGTGACAGGTGTCTCACACATCTTGAAACAGTCTCCATTGCTCTCATCCTAGGTGACAGACAACAAGGAGTGGCAGCGCTTAAATAGGAGGTGTGAGCAGCTTCAGAAAATGGCCTCCTCAGCTGGACCTGGTGATGGCCATTCGGGCAACATTTGCCTCGGTTTGTAATGAAAAGCTACCGAAGGATTGAAACAGAAGTCAAGAATTAGAAAAAGGCTCATGAGAACTTCACAGAAAGGCAGGAAATTTGTGGTGAAACACAGGAAGTCAGCAGTCTTTTTTTAGTTGACACCGAGGTTGGAGGAGATGCTGCTGGAGCTGCTGAGGTCAGGGAAGCTCTTCCTCGCAGAGCACAGGCGGGCACCTCGCAGGTCCCCAGAACCAGGAGGCACAGGTGGTTTTCATTGTGTCAATGGCCTTCACTCCTTGGTAAGGAGGAGGAAAGGCCTTTTCAGGACTCGATGTACAAATCTTTGCTGTAAACTTCAGTGGAATTCTGGAAGTTGATGGACTTTAAGCAGTCCCTGCTGCTCCCTCAGCTTCCCTACAGAGGTATTAATTTCTAAGTCCATCCCCAGAAAGACCAGGAGATGCTGTGTGATTAGGACAGCTTAATTGCTCCTATCTTTCAGCTTCAGTACTGTCATATCTAGGTTTGCAGGAGCCCAGAGGCAGGGCTCAGCAAATACCATTGGTGCTTCAGGGGGAGTCCTAGTGGCTGTGGGCTGCAGATTGCTTGCAGAAAACAAGATGTGCTAACAGCCTTCAAAAGCATGGAAGCTGCTGCATAGAAGAAGGTACAAAGTGAGGAAGGAAATGTTCTTCCTTATCAAGAATGAATGTTTCAGGAATAGACTAGACAAAAGCTTTTAAGTAAAACAGCCATAAAATGGGACTTGGCAAAATCATTTCTCTGCTGCTAGGCAATCTAATTTACTTTTATTTGATTTTTCTGGGACCAGGTGTAGCTGAAGTCACAATTGCTGTTGTCTGTGGGGGCCTTTATCAAGAGAACTGAAGTCTGAAGGTACAGATACGGTCATCTTAAGTCTCCACTGCAGCATTCTTGAGTTTTTTTGTTGTATGTTTGTTGTAGTTTGTATTTTTTGCTTTGAGATGAAGGACTTTGGAAACCCAATTTACCAGAGCGGTTGGATGTAGCAATTTCCTTACAGCTTTCAGCAGTGGGCAGCAGTGACACTAACAGGTGATACCAGTTTTAGTCAGACGTTGATCTTCTGTATGCAGGAAATTTTAAGTCTTCTTTTTTAAGTGAATCAGGAGGAAACCACATTTAAAGTGCCTTTGCCCATCAAATGGAAATTCTTCATCTACATCAGCTCTGTTCTCACTTTAGAAAGTCAAAAGCCTTTATCTTCAAAGAAAATCACGCTCTAGGCAGGACAGCTTTAATCACTGATAAATGAGGGCTAATTCCTCACGTGTAGGGGATGTTTGGTTGCCCCTTGCTCTGCGCTCACAAGGAGTTAAGCAGCTGCTTGCTGAGGTTCTGCCTGCCCTGCAGATCTGTCATTCTTGCTGCTCAAGAAAAAGGACACGACGGTGCGTGTTCCACTCCTTGCCACTCCTGACCCATTTTCCCACTGGCTGTGCTTGCTGGGGATGTGACATCCGAGCTCACTGCTGGCGCAGCCGTTGTAAAGCTTTGTTCTGCAAAGCCCTTCTCGTACCGTGGAGCTCAGATTAATTTTCTACAACCAGCTTTGTTCGGGGAGAGATGGAAGCGCTAAGAATACAAATCTGTTGACTCCTCCCATCCGTTTGCCAGCATAAGCGTTCCATCTCCTTTTGCATGTAGCCGTTTGCTGCGTTTCTGAGGTTTTGATGTATCTCGCAGCAATGCCGATCTGCCTCCAAGCAGTTCTGATGGAGCTGTCGGTATTTCCGCTGGTCGGGGCTTTCGGGACCGCTACCACGCGGGTCGCCATTCAGAGGCAATTTCACAGACCAAAGGCGAAAATACCGATCACTGCGGAATAAAGTTTCTCCCTTTTCCTCTTTCCTCCGGTGCTCAGAGGGGGGAAGGGACCTGCGCACACCGCCGAGCAGCCTCGCCCGATGTAAGAAGGAGCCGGAGGGCTGGCCAGGATGGGGAGAGGAGGAGGAGGGATGCTAAAAATACCGCCCTATGCCGGGCAGCGCGCGGTGCCGGTGCGGGCCGGGTGCGCAGCGTGCGCGCCGCAGTGCGCGGCGGGAGCGGCCGCGCCGCAGGGATGCTCGCCCCGCTGCTGGGCTCCGCGGGCTCCGGCTGCCTGCTGCTGGGTGAGTGCCCGACCCGCTGCAATCCAAGGCCCTCCCTGACCGCCGTGGGTCCCGCTGTGCGGGAGAGGGGCTGCGGGCGGGGGGGAGGGCGGTGGCGGCGTGGCCCGGTCGAAGCGAGCGGGGAACGGAGCCCCCCGGCCCTGTGAGCGGTTCCCCGGCCTCCCGGCACGGGTATTCCTATCTCATTACTTTCCGATTAAAAGAGGGGGGAACGCGATCGGATGGAAGCCGGTGCTGAACGGCAGGGGTGGTTTCGGAGGTGAAAATTTGCTATTCTGCTGCGTGCATGCAGTTTGATGGCACACAATGAGACGGTGCGGCAGAGCCGGGGAGGGCTGGAGGAACGGCTTGGTGTGTTACATAATTTCAAAGCATCCTGAGGGGTTATTTGGTCCATCTCTGGCAGTGAGTAAGGGCACTTTCTGCTTATTTGCAGTGGGTGCATGAAATAGGGCAGTGCGTGGGGCTGTGTGTGCGGGTGGGCAGGGCTGAACTGGTGTCCCATTGTTTCGTGGACGGGTAGTGATGGTTCAGAGTGTGCTTGGACACATGCGAGTCTGAAATAGGTGCTTCTCTGTAAGGTGTGCAAGAGTTTGGCCTTAAACTGGGACCTTTGAATCTGAAGCATCTTCACTGCAGAAAGGCATGGCTCGGTGCCTGTGCTATTTCTCCCAGCAGACTTCCAAGGAGAAGTACAAAGGGGAAACGATTTTTAAAGATGACAGCTTTGCATCATTAGGTAAATCTTCTGCTGAGAAGTGCCAAGAATGGAAAACATGTCGTAATTATTTATGTGCACGTCTACTTGATGTTTCCGAATCTGGAAAAGATGAAAAAAATAGGGAACTGAATATCACCTTTGTCTTTGGATACATCCTGGTGGCTCACACTGAAGTCAGTGTGCTTTGGCTGCTTCAAGCAGCTGCTTCTGAACTGCAACAAAACTCACACAGGGCTAATTTTGCCCAGTGGGAATTCCATGGGTGAATCAGAGAGCAGGAGCTGGCTCAGGGGCTGCAGGTGGATATTTGTTGCAGTGTTTTGGGCCCAGAGCCCCAGAGATTGCTCTGAGCTCCTTTATTGGAACTGAAATTTGCTTATGACAACAGCAGAGTGGAGCCAGTGGGGAATGATTCCCTGGGGCCTCCATGTGCACACTGCAGGACCAACCCCCTGATAGAACCACTGAGGTTGGAAAAGACCTCTCAGATCCCTAAGTCCAACCCCAACCCATCCCACCATGCCTGCTGACCATGGCCCTCCAGTGTCCCATCTCCATATTCTGGAGCAACTCCAGGCACGGTGATTCCCTGCTTTCAGGGCAGCCTGTTAGTACCACCCTGCCACCTCCACGCATCTCTCTCTGCATGCCCTGCCATCCCCAAGTGTCCATCCATCCAGGTGTGGCTCTGCCTCATGGCCTCCCTTAATTCCTCACCCGTTTTACTTTGGTGGAAATGGTGATTTCAGCCTGAGCTTTTGTGCCCTGGGTGTCCTGTGCTGCCACTGCCCCTCACAGGTGCCAGGCTGCCCAAGGGAGATGGCTCTGTGCTCAGATCCTGTCCAGCCCAGTAGCTGTGTGCCTCTGGTTGCTGCTTTTACATATAGTCTTGGTCTTCTGGTGGCTTTGTCCCATTGAACACAGCCCCGTGCTGCTGAGGGAACATGGTAGCCATGCTGATGTACTTAATGAGATGCATGATGTCCACCACATGCCAGCGCAGCACTCTTGTTGGGTTTCTATGAATTTCTTGCACATCTATAATGGGTTTTAATCACTGAGGATGGGTCTGCAGTGCTGACCTTGGTGGAATAATGCTGGAGACAAAGACAATTAATTCCCAATGCGCAGACAAGCTCTCTGTTACCCTGGGTGCTCTGATGGATGCAGAGCAGGCACCAGTGGGCAGAGATTTGCACCTTGGGGCGGTTTGGTTGTGGCTTTACAACATCGCAGCTGAGTCTCTCACATGAAAACTCTGGAGAGGCTGCAAGGGACTCTTACAGCCCCATTTCCAAACCCTCCTCTCACACTGTGACACAGAGCCCTCAGTGACAGCTTGAAGTTCAGGTCTCAGGACAGGGGACGTTCCCCGCTGCGCTCTGCGTGTGGCACAAAGCAGATGCCCAGGGCTGGGCATGGAGCACTGACTGCTGTGCAGAGGCAGTGCCTGGGCTGTGCAGTGAGATATATTTAGTTGCTTTTATTCTCCAGCTCTATTACTTTTCCATTTAGACAATTGTTAGATACCATCAAAAGGAAGGAGTAAATGTACCCGCATTTCTCTGCTTGCTTGTGGGGAAAGGCAGCGCACAGCAGTTTTCTCTGCTGCTCTGGACTAATTTAGACATTTATTTGATTTTTGTCTCCACTCTACTATGGATGTTACCAATTTTTCCAAGTAATGAAAAGAGGAGAAAAGCTTTGAAGGCAACTGGCAAACCGAACTAACTGAATACCCGTGGATGTAGGAAAGCTGACTTGGGAGCAAGCCAGGGAGAAAGAAAAATGATGTTACAGAACTGAGAGTGTAACTGTTGGCTTTGCATCACCGAGCACCACTGAGCATCACAGGGCTTAAACCTTTCCTCGTTATTATGTTTCTGTGAGGAATCTGTGTGAAAATTTGCAGAATCATTCAGGTAGGAGAAGACCCCTCAGGTCCCCAAGCCCAGCTCACCATGCCCACTGACTGCGTCCCCAGTGCCACATCTCCACGTTCTGAAGCATCCCCAGGTCGGTGACCCCCCGTTCCCTGGGCAGCTGTGCCAGCACCTGACTGCTCTTTGGAGAAGAGATTGTTCCCAACAGCCAACCTGATATCACCATACAGTGGCTGCAGCACTCAGCTGACTCACAGGGAGCTGAGGCAGGCGCTGGAGGATACCAAGGGATGCTCCGTCCCCATGGCCTTCTTCTGGGCTTTGCTCCTTCTTACCAGCAAGGAAGAAGAAAGGAGAGCATCTATTAATACTACTTTTATTTATAAGTGTCTCTTCCTTTGGTAATGGATCGATACAATGAGGATTTTTTAATCACTGCTATTTATGTGCCTTGTGCTGCTGTGCGAAGCCAAAGCCTGCAGGTCCCTGGGTTGGGGTCTGGGCCATTTCTGCCCATTTCTGCAGCCTGATGCAATGGATTGAGGTGTGCCAGAGAGGACGTGGCTTTAAAATATGGATAAAGATGCTCAAATTGTATCCCTCAAATCCACAGAACCCCATACTAACAGTGGATTCCTCAGGTTCCTTCCTGAGCTTTCCTGCAGCTTGCTGTGAGCCCAGCCTGGCTCCCATGGCTGCTATTTCCCAATATGCTGATTCAGGGTCCTGGCGAATCTTTTTCTGCAGACTCTGAGGCACTGAGCACTGCTTCCATGCAGTGTCACCCAGGTAAATGTTTTGCTGGGCTCATATGGACTGCCATGGCGTGCCATCAGTGTGTGTTGATGACAAGTCGCTTGCTGTGTCAAAGCCTCCCTTCACCGTAAACATTGTCACAGAGCCTTCAAGGTGACCCTTGGCTGCTGAGGAGGCAGACAGAGGGGAGAGAGGGAAAGGCTGTGGCTGATTTTGCTTCTCCTTGCTCTCTGAATATGGATAAAATTATTTGACCTTTGGATTGGAGGCTGTGTGATGAAAAATGCAGTGGTTGGTGCTGGGAAGGGATAAGGCTCCGAGCCCATGCTGTGCTGCACCTTGCCAGGCAAACACCTCCCCTGTAAGCCACCAAGCTTTCATCGTGGGTAGCACACAACTTTCAGCAATGTGGAAAGAAGAGAAATCCAATCATCTTGTCCAAGCCCTTTTCCTTTGCGCCACAGGAAGCGAGGAAAAAAAGGCATCATTGAGTGGAAATCACCTTCTTCTTGGGAAAGCCCCAACAGAGGGGAGAGAGGTTTTTACATCTAGTTCTGTGTGCAGTGGTGTTGCAAGAATGCAGCTCACATTTCCATTTCCTCAAGCATGTGGCTGCTGTGGTGTAGATACAATCTCAGGCAGGCCACACCACTAGGAAACAGTTTCCACTTCATTACTGCAAAATAGCACTGCAGAATCAGTATCAGATGGGATGGTATCTGCGAGGTCAAGGGGATGCAGGGGTACCTGGTTTCATCACCCCACTCTTCTCCCTTGGGGTGAGTTGTGCCATTTGGAAAACCACACGGGCACGGTTCCTGTCCTGCAGGGGTGCTGCAGGATGCTGGGTGGTTTGGAGTAAATGATGGGCTGGGAAGGGTCCTTGGTCTGCTGCAGTCTGCAGAGTGCTGCTCGTGCAAACCCATCTTCTGGAGCCAAATCTTCAGGCAGGCTGTGATGCAGGGTGCCACCAGTAGGACCTCCCTGCTCCAACAGGAATTTCCCTGCACACACTTCCATTTTGGAATGCATTTTTTTTTTTTTGTCCTATAAGCTTCTGCTCTGAAATTTGAGCTTCTGTCCCGTTTGGTTATGACTAATCCATCGGCCGCCTGTCTGGTGCCAGCATGACAGCTCAGCAGCTGCTTGTTTTTCCTGGTGCTTCCTTCCCAATCTCCCTGAGGCTGATGCCCCTGGGGCAGCTCTGTCCTCATTCTGCTGGCTCCTGAGCCCAGGTCTCCTCCTCCAGACAGCTTTCTGGAAAGGATGGCTGATGTGCAGTGTAGATACAGTTGGGTGCAGAGGGTACCGTGTCTCTCTGGGATCTGTTGGTTGATGGAATGCTGTGTGGCCGCCCTTCCTCTGGGCTGGCCATTGGTTCATAGCTGAGAGAAGGAGCTCAAGTGGCCTTTGCTCCCTCCACAGCCACTGAGCAGCAGGGGCTGGGATGTCCATGCATTGAGCTGCAGCAGTCCAGGCTGTGCCACCCCTCGTGGGCAGGAGATGGTGCCAGAGGGGACAGAGAGTGGCATCAGCACCAAGGGAGGATGCACTGGGATCTCACATGGCAAGGTCTGCAGGTCCCCATGGGCTGCAGAGCAGCAACCAGCTCCATCCCTCGGCTGCAAATCCTTAATATCAACTCCATAAACAACACAGACGCTGCTTCCTTTAAGTGAGGGGCGAGACGGGGGGCACGCAGCACTACCACGGCTGAGCAAATGAGAACGAAACAGCGAAGGTGGTGTGATTTGGGGTCGGAGCCGCGGCGGTGTCGTGTGTGGCTGCTAGGTGGCACCACCGCGAGCAGTGCCAGCTGATGTCACCAACCTCTTCAACGCCCTCTCCTCTTCCCCTCCCCTCCCCACTCCCTTCCAGGCATAAAAGGTGGAAAGAACATTACGGACCGTTTTTAACGGTGGACAAATATATCCGGTTGCTTTCTGAATGTGTTTCAGCCAGTACGTCCCGTGCCGTTCAGTTTTAGGTAAATCCGTGAGTTGTAATTCTAGAGGGGCAAACACGGAGTTATTTTTGTGCTGCAGCGTGCTCGGATCTCCTGCCGGCTGCTTGCAAAAGGTTGCCCACGTCAAACCAGCAACCCGAGGGAGCTCAGAGCTTTGCAAGGCGATTCCCATCGCTCTACAACCCGTTGGCGAGAGGTTCCCCTCGGGTTTATGAAATAATTCTATTTCTGGCTCGGCCGTGCAGGCAGGGTCAGAGGCCGGCCGGGGACACCCGGGGCGCCCCGCTGAGCGCCGCGTCCCCGCCTCGAATGGGTCGCTGTGCCCGCCAGGCTCCTCCTGGGCCCCGATCCCGGCTGAGCAAATCCCTTCAGCTGAGAGGCTGCCGAGGGTGGTGTGATGCTGTGAGCCGCCAGCAACAATTCAGCCCTGTGTTTCCTTTGGGAAAAGGCATTTGCATATCCTCTGTTCGCTGTATTTGGTTAAACACATTTGAAAAGGCAAAAACTATTGAGAGGGAGGAATGGACGGGGGGCCTCCCATGCTTTAACTCTTCGGAGGTCAGCTCTGGGCTTGCCAGGGGGGAGGGGGATAAGGAACAGCAAAGTCTTGGAGAGATGTCTCAAAATACCCAAAGCAGAGGCTCTGAGAGCTGCTTTTGCAACAGGAAAGAGGACGGTGCTGGGGATGGGGAAAAGCCACGAGGATGGAGGAAGCAGAAATGCACCATGTGCTCTGAACTGGGGGTTTGTTGATGTGCACTGAACTCATCACAGACAAGAATGCCTTCATGTGGCTTGGAAACACACATGAAAATACGTGGGCTTGGATAAAAGAAAGCTGCACTCATGTTGGGAATGCAAGCAGGACATGCAGCGGGATGCAGAAGTCAGAACTGACTGGAAGTGAAACCATGGATAACTCAACTGCTGCTTAATTTAAAGTAAAAAACCAACCAACCAACCAAACCTCAAAACTAAAAAAAAAATAACTAAATGAACAACAAAGACTCTGGCATGTAAACCAAGTGGTTTACATTCAAACAGCACCACTGCGTGCTGTTACTACAGAAGAAAAGAAACCATTTCAATGAAGCAAGGACATCCCAAATGACAGCCTGACCACAGGGCTCTCAAAACCCTCTGCTGCAGGGATGCCCACACGGCCGTGTCCCCAGTGCCTGGCAGGATCTGTGCTGTGCCTGGCTGCAGTGTGGGGAATGAGCTTTGGGACTCCCAGGGCTGTGGGGAGACGGCAGCTGGGAGATGCATCCATTGGTGCTCCTGCAGAGAGAGGGAACTGAGGGTTGAAGGGGGAGGAGAGAGAAGCTCTGTGCTGGTGGCCTCGTGTCAGCATCCCTAATGACTGACTTAATCCTCTGTTCATACAGCGCATTTCCTTCCTGCTGCTCTTTGTTACTGGTCAGAAATACGGAGTGTGTAATTAATGACCAAAAGCTGTAGGAAGGAATGAGGGAGTGTTCAACAGAGAAACACAGGGGGAGAATTTCCCCCATCCCTTGCATCACTTACATTCTTTTAATCAGTGCCTGTTTTTTGCACTTCTAAGGTGAAAAATGGGGGCCTTTCTGGTAGTTTTCTTCTCTCTTCCCAAAGCTGTGGCAGATAAAGCATAGCTCTTGTGGGAACATCCTCACTGCATCACAGTGCTGTGTGAGAAGGAGGAGGGAGGGCTGCACCTTAGCTGTGGTTTCCTGGTGTGCAGCCTGGGTTGGCTGCTCCCCCACCTCTGTGTCCCCCTGGCTGTGAGCACGGCTTTGTTCAAGATTCAGCCTTCATCCATGTTTCTCATTCATCCTGATAACGTATAAAAGCACAGAGATACAAACGGTTTCTGTTTCCTGCAGCACGTTGTGCTCAGCTGGCAGTTCTGCAGGCACTTTGACTCTTTCCCCAGAGCTCTGCAACACAAGCACAGCTATGGTGCATTCCTGGGGCTGTGCACACACCTGAGCTATGCTACTCTGCCTGCTGCAGCTCCTGAGCACACAGGATAAAGGATGGACAGTGCTGTGCCTCCACTGGGAGACACTGATTGACACCAGGGGATCACTCAGCCTGACACTCCCTGGTGGTTTTATAAACTAGGACTAATTGCAGAATAGCCACAGATGGGCCAAATGAGGAATGTTTGATGATTTTGCCTGGAAAGTCATTAAATATCTGTGCCCAGGGATGATAACTTTCTTTTTTTTTTGAGGGGAGAGGGGTTCTGTGAGGACTCTGTTGAGAAGGGTGATAGTGAATAGTAAAAGTTTGGTTTTGTTGCTCTATAACAAGAGTTAATTTACAAGTTCTGTTGCTGGATTTATTTGGCTTTGTTTTTACTGTATTTAACAACATAAGGGTGATATTGGCTGTAGTTATATCCTCTTACTCTTTTATTGATTCAGGTGGTTTACACTGATTCTACTCAGGCTCTGAAGCTGTTAATTTAGCAGCCTAGGGCTGCCGGTGTAAGCTCTTTGTTTATCAGAAGCCTCATTTTTTGGTAATATTTTTTTTAGGGGGGGAAAAAAAAGAAACCACTAAAAAAAAAAAAACCAACAAAAGCCCCACGATGCTGCTTTTCGCTTTAAATTAAGCATTGGCAGGAAGGCTTTGAAGCTTTGCCCCCGGACGCCTCGCCTGGCTCCTGCTGGGAGCTGCTGGCACGCCTGAGGAGCGGCTGTGACCGCGCAGCCCCGCGGAGCCCCAAGGGTTACAGCGGGCAGCCCCGCGCTAATACAGCCTAAGCTGATATTAGCCAAGCTTAACTTCTTTCGGCAGTTTGCAGATGGGAAGGGGGTGGGACGTCCTGCAGTCAGCAGTTCTCCGCGAGCCCGTGAACGCGGGCGCCGGCGACGGAGCCGATCATGAGCTGAGCTCGTGGAACGGACGGACGGACAGACAGACGGCTGCGGTGAGTGCAGAGCGTGCTGTGCTGGCTGGTGTCCGTGCGTGTGCAGCGCGGTCCCCACGGCACGGCTGGCGGTGGGGTTGCGGGGCGCTGAGCAAAGCAAAGCGGCTTCGGGGCTGCAGGGCGGCGGGCGCTGCTGCTGGAGGACTCGACCGCGCTCAGCCGGCGGCACAGCCGGCAGGATGGGGATGGAGGCCAAGCAGCAGAAAGCAGCAAATGTGGGATTTACAATTTTCTGTTTGGTTTGGTTAGGGTTTTTTTTTTTTTTTTTTTTTTTTTTTTTTTTTTTTTTTTTTTTTTTTTTTTTTTTTTTTTTTCCCCTAAGCTTTAAAGGGGGAAAAAGCCGCAGCTCTGGCTGAAGCCCCGTGCGGGTTGAAAGCTGCAGAGCAATGCGGGTCCTCCAGCCCTCGGGCGCTGCATTGCCCGCCTGCCGTGGACGATGACACGGGGTGCAAAAGGAGCGCTGCTCCCTGGGGCTGTCTGTAGGGCTCAGCAGAGTCATCTCTCTGGGCTCTGCTCCCTAAGGTCCCGTGTGTGCGGCACGGCTCGCTCCCGGCAGCAGGAACTCTGCAGAGAGCAGCGAAATCGTGTTGCTGTGGCTGAGACCCTGCGGGTTGGCAGGCTTTGTGTACGTGGTGTTTCTCCACCCTGTGGTGAGGTGGGCTCTTTGCGATGGGTTGCAAAATGGGCTGGGTTGCAAAGGACTGCTATGCTCATCTTGTTCCAATCCCCTGCTATGTACAGGGTCACCAACCAGCAGAACCAGGCTGCCCAGAGCCACATCTAGCCTGGTCTTGGATGCCTGCAGGGATGGGGCATCCATAACCTCCTTGGGCAACCTGTTGGATGTTGTTGTCTTTCCTGCTGCAGGGAGAGTGGTTGGGAGCTCCCAGGACAGGTGATGATGTGTGCTCTGCCAGAGCTCTGTAGGCACCCAGGTGGAAAGTGTGAACAGTGTATGTGATCCACAACCAAACACTGTGGTTTCACACTGCCTTCCAGCACACAAACACACGTGTGCCCTTTATGCATGTTAAAGACTGCCAGTGTGTGAACTGCAACTGTTGGTTGGGCTGCATGCTGGAGGTTAAGCACAGAACATGGGAACTCCATCTGTGGGCATGGAGCATTGCATTTCATGGACACATGGTGTGGTTTCTTGCTTGCCCTCTTGCTTTGCTGTGTGCCTGTTCCACCCTCCTATTGATGGAGACAGGGTGGAGGTGCAAGAGGATGCTGTCAGGAGCCCTCACTTGTTTCTGGAAGATTATAGCATGGTGGGTTGGTGCTGCTGCTGGGCATCCTCAAGTGCGCAGTGCAAACATGTGGCTATCTGCAGTTTTACAGCACAGACCCCAATGCAGTGACCATTTCACTGCCCTCACATGCAGGAGAGCAACCTAAAGTGATGTTCCTTTAATGGCACAGTGAGATCCCCATGCACGGTGCAGAAATAATTCCAAGCTCTGGCAGGTTGCAGGCAGTGTTGTGTTGGTGGTGACTGCGGGGTCTGGCAGGATGCAGCAGCTCTGTGCAGCAGACATGCTGTGCCATGTTGTGCTATGCTCAGCTTTCCTGCCTGCTGCACCCATGTGAGAGAAAGGAGCCACTTTCCTCCAGGTGTTTTGGCACGTGCCTTGCATCTTCCTTAACCCTTGCTTTCTGGCCCCTTCCTCCATTGTTTCAGAGCCAAATGAGCTCTGAAATGTCCAAAGCTGCCTGCAGCTGCTGGTTTGTTTTGGGATAAACCTGGGCTGGGTTCCCGTACTCACACTCACATGTACACAGGGCAGGATGAAACCTGCTTGCTCCAGAGCTGCCCTGGGGGCCCCTCGCTACTCCCCATCTGTGTGGACGGGGTCCTTCAGAAAGCTCTGTAACTTGCAGGGCACTTGATCGGTAATTAACCTGATCTAATTATAGCTGGCTTACTGGGAGGGTTGCAACTGTATTATAGCTGGATCATGACACGACTGTTACTTTTTTAAGCTGCCATTTTCAGTGCCATTTCCCAGTGGCAGCCACGACACCATCTTCATGGCCGTGCACTTGGCACAGTCCTGATCCAGCCTCCACGGAGCAATTAAAGATATGTTCTTCATTATAAATATACCAGAGTGAGGAGGCAGGAATTGGTGAGGGCAGCCAGCCCACAGGTGGGGATGAGGTGATGTGAGGGCCTCTCCAACCTGAGCCACAGCACCATATAGCACAGGAGACAACCAACCATCAGTGTCATTGGTGACAGGGTTGGAGATGCTTCAGCAGGGAGGTGAGCGTTAGCATCACCAGGCCTTGGGAAACTGATGGACTTGAGATGAGAGCTGTGAGCCATTGAGTTTTCCTCTTTTGGTAGGAGCCTTAAAACACTTTCAGGGCATCCCAACACTTCCTTACCTGGAGGAGTGGCAGATGGGGACCAGCACTCAGCCTCAGCTCTCCTGCACGCTGCATCCCAGTGCTGTAGAGCATCACCACTCTGCATGTGGTTCCTAGGAGACTTTTAGGCCACTTCCATCTGTGAGCTGTAACTGAGTCAGGAAGGGAGTGGGGGGCGAAGCCACCCGGGAAGGGGCTTTGGCATGGGAAGCCATAGGTGACACGGATGTTGGGGGTTGAGGCTGTGAGCAATGGCACTGCTGGCACGGCTGCTGGGTAATTCAGTGAATCATTCCTCTTGGCACACGATGTGCTGCAGATATTTTGGATGCTCTAAATACCTCCATTTGCACCGCGATGATTGCGTTCTCCCTGTAAAATCAGACTGTCAGCACACTGAGCTCCCTGTTTGCATTTTTTCCCTGTTTTAGCGGATGCTTGCAAAGAGCTTGTGTCTTGCAAATGCGTTTGTTTCCTTGCAAATGCATTTCTCGGCAGCGGGAGGCCGGGGCCGCTCCTCGGCGTTGCCTGGAGATCCGCATCCTTTGTCTGTGCCTTCCCTCTGGCAGCACCGCCGTCCCCAGCAGCTGAGGGGCTGCGCGGGGGGAGCGGAGCTGCTCTGCACCGCGTGTTGCTGAGGGGCTCCATTGGGAACGCAGGGCGAGAGCAGGATGTGGATGTATGTATTTCAGGTTGGATGTTAGGAATAATTTCCCCGTTGAAAGAGCGGTCAGCAGTGGCACAGCCGCATGGGGACGTGGGGAGTCACAACCTGAGGGTGTTCCAGAGCCGCGGGGATGTGGCGCTGTGGGATGAGGTCGGTGGGCATGGCTGGGGTTGGGGGATCTGAGAGATGTTTTCCAACCTGAATGATTCGGTGGTTCGTATATACGTGTGTGTGTGTGTGTGTGTATGGACGTGCGTGCCCGGCTGCAGCGCCTCTCTCCGTCACAGGCTGCTGCGGGATGGCCAGGAGGGACAACGTGGGGGTGGCACAGGGATGGTGTCACACTCCCACCCAGGCGCAGAGCCCCCTCCAGCACCCGGTCCGCTGGGGCTAAAGAGGCTTAATACCAGAGAAACCCCGCTCCTTAATAGTCCTTCTGGCGGGCGGCCAGGGGAGCAGATTGGCCGTGTCTGATTCCCAAAGGGAGGGGAGAAGGACGTTTTTCATCAGTAGAATGACAACCTGCTTCCCTTCCGTTGCTTGCTCTCTGGGCGCTGCTGCAGTGCCCTGCGGGGGTGCCGCAGCCTGGCCAGCACTCAGCCCCTCTCCTGCTCCATCCACCAGCAGTGCAAACAGCTGCCCCAGAGCAAATCTGATCCCAGCAGTGGTCCCCTCTCTGTCTTTATGCTGCCTGAGTCTCAGCATAATAATACAAAAAATTTGATTATTTGTTCTCTTCTGAATTATGACTCTCTGAGCTGCAACGCAACCACAGTCAGTGAGGACTCATGCTTTTGCTTTGATTCTTCAATGAAATCGTTGTGACTTGGCCCTGCAAAGGGTTAAGTGTAACCAACTGTCTTTTATGTACTGTGGCACATGGGAGTCAGTTATCTCGCAGGTGGTAAAATGAAGCACATGCAAGGGTCTGGGATGAGGCTTGGTGAGCAGGGAGTGTTTTTTGATGAGAACACACCGTCCCCAGAATCTAAGCAGTGATGCAGCACGTGGATGCAAAGCGACCGATCTGCCTGAGGGATGATGTTGCATGGGAAAGGCTTACAGCGAAGCACACACCTGCAGGAGCGAGAGCAGGAAAAGTTTAGGGGAGTTTTAAATAGCTTTAGCCTTGCACTGGCTGATAATCCTGATAATTAGTTACAGCTGACGGAGCACTGAGAGCCCTGTGTGCTCATTGCTTGTGAAGTGCTCTGCCTCCTGGGCTGGGATGTGCTGGGAGCTCTGAGCAGGATGCTGGCTGCTGGCTGGGAGACCCAACCCAAGGGCCAGGCTGATTTTTTTTTTTAATTGTAACTATGATTTTTAATTTCTTGATCGAGAGGAGAAAAACAGGCAGAATAATAGAGGAAGTGAACCCACCCTGCAGCATGGGGTGCCTGGGCAGCACTGCTCCTCCCAAACACTCTGTAGTCCTCTCCCAGCTCTGCTCTGTGCAGTTGACCCTATGGGCTCATAAGGGTGCAAGATCAAGGTGAACTGGTGCAAAATTGGGGCGGGGGCCGAGCATCACCCTTTTGCCTGTATTATCTCTGCACCAGCACTGTGCTGCTTTTCCATTCTCTCCAGTGAGCAGATCTCCAGAGCAAAAAGCTCAGGAAAAAATTGCAGTGGGGGTGGGCAGAGCTCCCATAGACCATCCCAGCAGCTCCTGGAGGGGATCAGGAGTGGCTGTGGGGTGCTGAGCTGCTGGTCTGGGCAAAGAAGAGGGCTGGTGCTGCTGTCAGCCCTATGGTGAGTGAGGTCAGCTGTTCGTTGTGTCTTTTTGCTCACAAAAAATTAAAAATCTCCCCCAGAGCCAGGTGCAGAGGGGGCTCATTTGCAGGCTGGCTTGTGCCCTCAGTGTGAATATGGGAAAGGGCTGCAGGGGGGGGTAGTCCTGACCCACAGTGTGCCCCAGACGCTGTTCCCATGAGTAAGAAAGCCAGTTTGTGCTCAGGTCAGTGGTGCCATTGTGTGGGGAGCCGTGGCTGGGGGAAGCCCCTGCATTCATCTCTCCTGGCTCTGCATGCTGGAGCTCTACCAGAGAGCAAAGGGAAGGGGCTGCCCAGCTCCTGCTGCAGAAAAACGTTGTTGTTAAGATCTTGCCTACTTGTAAGATCACAAATAGCACCGAGGGGCTTAATAGGAAACCCTAACTGTTTGGAACACTCGCTCTGCAGCATCTGCTTGGCTCGTCTTCTGCAGGGCTGGCAGTTGTTGCAGGCTCCCTGGCAGAGCACTGATACAGGGACCTATCTGTAAACACATGTCTTTTAAGATGCCTCTTGTGTGCCCAGCACCTAAATGCAGTCCCTCGAGCACAGCTTCACTCAGCGACCCAGGAGCAGGCAGTTGGTGCGCCAGCTGCAAAGCCACGGGGTACAAAGGTGGGGGGCTGGGACTGCCTTGCTGTGCTGTAAGATGTGTCCCCGAGGCGCGGTCCCATCCCAGCCTGGGTGGTGCTGGGTGGGCCCTGCAGTGCCTGTGCCTGATACCCTCTGTGCCTTATCCCCAGCCGGCACTCCCAGGTGGTTGTTCCAGGAAGCTCTACAGTGATGCCCTGAAACTCCCTTTGCCTTGAACTGCCCATAATTTAGCCTGATGTAAACCATAACAATCTCTAAGTTGGCACAAAGAAGGAGAGCGGTGTTATGGATATATCTGTGCAGCGTGCTGCTCTGTGGGCTGATGGCTGGTGCTGCATGGCCTGATCCTGCCATCCCATGGGATGCTGCAACCTATTCTGATCATAGCTGGGGCCCACGGCTCGTCTCAGCCTGGAGCAGATAAATCTCACCATGGGTTTGGCAGCCGCATCGCCAAGCAAATGCTCAGATGTCCCTCAGGAGCGAGCTGCCTGCTCCCACTCACCGCCGTGGGGATGCTGCCTCCTCTCTCATCCCGTTCTCACATATGCTGCTCTCAAATGAAGGATCTCTTGGCCACGAGGCTGGGGAGCATCGCGTTCCCAACGGCTGAGGAGGCCCTCCTTCGGCTCTTACAGAAATCACCGTGTCGCTCGTGGAGAAGATGCAAGCTCAGGAAATCCTGCGGAGCCTGCGGCTCCCCGAGTTCGATGACCTCAGCCAGTTCTTCCGCAACCTGCCTGCCTCCGCGCTGGTGGGCATCGGTGCCTTCGCCGCCGTCGTCGCCTACTGGTTTGCCAGTCGGCCCAAGGCTGTGAAGCCGCCCTGTGATCTGCGCCTGCAGTCGGAGGAGGTCGAGGTGAGGCTGGGTTGGGCACTGGGGGTCACCATGTACCCAGGGAGGGGCTGAATTCTCCTCGTGGAGATCACAGAATGGCTGGGTTGGAAGGGACCTTAAAGATGACGGAATCATAGAGTGGTGGGGTTGGTTAATCTGTCCTTTCTGTAAAGTGAAAAAACTAGAACCCAGCCCATTCATTTATTCTCTTATTGTTTTTAATGCCATCTTGATTTTAACTTTGCCTAGCTACCAAGGGCTGAAAATTGCAGCAGCAGGTATTACATGAATATTTTTACACTGCAAGGAAACCACCCATCCCCACTAGAGCTCTAAGACCTCTGCTCTTGTTCATGTCGGTTACCGAGTGGTGGCTGCTGCAGACTTTTCAGTGAAGTGCAGAGTGTACCCAAATCCTCTTGTGAGGCTGAGCAGTAATTAATGTTCGTGCTCTTAAGAGGTCTTAAAGTTTAATGAAACTGCTCTATTTCAAGGAGGAGAAATAGTTCTGAAAATTGTTTCAATTTAAACTCGTATCTTCAAATCCTCAGTGTTTCAGTCTTTTCCACATAAAATATTCTTGCCTTCGATGCCAACAACTTTTTAAAAGGTTAGGAGGAATGCAAAGCCCCATATGGATGGGGCTTTACAGAGCCTTCCTGCTGACTGTCCCCAATGCTCCCTCCCACCCAACACCACTGCTACAGCTCAGCTGTGTCCGCAGGAGATCACAGTGATGGTGGCACCTGTTTGTCCTTCCTGTCCCATCTCTGTGAGCCATTAGGAGCCCCTCACTGTTTTTTCCCTCTTTATCTGTCCAGCTGTGGTGTCAGCCCATTTTATCTTCCTGCTGTTATCTCCTGATGGGCTGATCCTGGAGCCTGTGCTGTGGTCTGGGTGTCCTTGAGGAGATGTCCTGGAGCTGTCACTCCCCTGGATGTCCCCACTTCGTTATCCCCACCAACCCAACATCTCACCCTCACCCAGCATCATTTGAACCAACAATTTTTTCCTCCTGTGCTATCTGCAGATTTAGAACTTGAATCTCTTTGGGAACTGCCAGCCACCCTCCTCCAGCAATGATCAGGGCCGAGTGCTCATCTCTGGGCTGTGGTTTCCCATTGCCATACTGTGTTGTGTCACACAGGGCCTGGATGGGGCACGCCGCTCGGTGATTGGGGACAGCCCACAGCTGTTGACCCATTACTACGACGATGCCAGGACCATGTATGAGGTCTTCCGGAGGGGGTTCAGCATCTCTGGTGAGAGCATGGGTGATGGGATGAGTGGAGAGACCCAATGAGGTGCCAACATTTCGGTCACCGAAAGATTTTTTAGAAGTCAAAAATGTGGGAGGACAAGAAGTCTTTTAAAACCCAAGTAGTGTAGGAGGGTGACTGATTGTAGGAGGCCAGTGAGGTGTGGGAGGCCAAGTGAGAGTGGTGCGGGTCAATGTTGAATGCCAAGGAGTTTGGAGCCTGCAAGGCTGGGTTGGCCAAAAGGGTGCCCTGGGGTCTGGATGCTGTTTTGCTCCTTCCTGCTCAGAATTAACCAGAGCAGCTTCAGCATCTCTTTTACTGATAACGGAATGACTGATTTACAAGTAACCACTGGGGACTTGTAATTAAGGTTACGATTAGCACTGTGCATTATTTTGCATTTAATACAGTTGAATTTCACTGTGAAGTCTCTTGGTACCATGAGGTCTTTTTGCTGCCGTGGGCAGACAACTTAATGCCCTGAATTCTGCAGCATCAGTGATGCTCATCATGCATTATTCACTTCCAGAACACTTCTGAATATATTAAATGAGGCTGATCTAGGTGTAGATCTGAGATCCCAATAGAGTTCTCTGCCTGTTGCTGCTTCTCTATCAGTTATCCATCCAGTTTACACCTTATGGCAGGGCAGGGGGCTGTGCCTAAAGCTGTCTGGGTGCATCCCCACAGTATCAGGCATCAGTTCCCAGCACTGTCCCTAATCCTGCCTTCTCTGCTTCTGTCTTCCAGAGAACGGCCCCTGCCTGGGCTTCAGGAAGCCCAAGCAGCCCTACCAGTGGCTGTCATACAAAGAGGTGAGCTGGAGCTGAACCCCTTGTGGAGCCCTTCTACCAGTGCTCTCACTCTTTCTGGAGTTAAAAGCACCCTAAGCTAGAGATAATGCAAAAAGTAGTGTTTTTACATAGCTGGTGCAATAATCTGAGAGTCCCCCTGCATAAGTCTTCCCTTCAATTGCTGCTGCTCCTGTTCCTCTCTCTGATGTGCTTTTTTCTCCCCAACTTCCAGGTGGCTGAAAGAGCAGAAGCTCTGGGCTCGGGGCTGCTGCAGCAGGGCTGCAAGCCATCCACAGAGCAGTTCATTGGGGTCTTTGCCCAAAACCGCCCAGAGGTGAGGTCTATTTTAACTTGGTGATGTCTCACTAATGTACCCGACTCGTGAGACTGCTTTCTTTCCAAGTGTGTTAAAACCACCCCCACCATTTCTTTTCACCTCTGGCAGTGGATCATTTCTGAGCTGGCCTGCTACACCTACTCCATGGTGGTGGTGCCTCTCTATGACACCCTGGGTCCTGGAGCCATCCGGTACATCGTCAACACAGGTACCACCAAATTACCATCATCTCAGAAAGCAGCGTCACTTGGAAGGTTCATCCCCTTCTGCTTCCCAAAGGACAGCTGCTGAAGTCTCTTAAGAGGTTTTGATGGAGCTGCTGTGCTCCAGTGGGAGTTCTCATTAATTTCCTCGTGTTCCCTCCCAGATTTATAGCTGTGCATAGTGTGCAAGTTGAGTACTTTGAAGTGGGTCCTAAAATAATTGTTGATGTCAGCCAGTCTTTCAGCAGTTAGCTAAAATTGCAGTGATTTTCAAAGAGAACGTGTTACATTCTGGGACCTCTGCTGTTAGCCCGAAGTACCAGCACTGACACTGTGTGAGCACCCAGCCTTCAATCAAAGCGGATTTACAGTTACAGAAACAACTTGTTTGTCTGCTTCCTCCCAGCGGACATTTCCACAGTCATTTGTGACAAGCCTGACAAAGCCAGGACGCTGTTGGACCACGTGGAGAAGAAGGAAACACCAGGGCTGAGCTCCATCATCCTGATGGACCCCTTTGAGAAGGAGCTGATGGAGAGGGGAAGGCGCTGCGGGGTCCGCATCCAGAGCATGCAGGAGGTGGAGGTGAGGCTGTGCTCTCTCTTATTCTCATACACTTTGTGTGTGGAAGCTGTAAGAACCACCAGGACATGTAGATTACACAGCAGGGTCAGTGTGGGGGGCTCGTGGCTGTTGATGCAGGGCTCAGTTTGGTTCCTCGTAGCGTTATCTCCTTGCTGATAGGAAAGCCAGTATTTCACACTTCCCTGCTGCAGGAAGGCATCAGCTGCTGTTTAAGCCTCTTTCTATGAAACAGCCCCAGCCCAGGCACTGCTTGAATCCAGGAATGACACTGAATGACATCCAAGAAACTTTGGGTACCAGGGATGACTTCAGAGCTAGCCACAAATGCCTCAGCTCCAGCTCACGCTCTCCCTCAGTGGTTTGCAATCATTAGCCAGTGGGCAGTGCCACATGAATTATGGTGGAAATCACCTTTGTTGCTTTAATCTCTTTCAGGACTGTGGCCGGGAGAACCGACACGCGCCTGTGGTGAGTGCTGTCATGCTGCTGTTCCATTGAGAGCTGCAGCTGCTTGTTCCCCTGGCAGAGGAGCAGCAGGGCTGGGGCAGCATCCTGCAACCCTCCCCATGCAGGCAGCAGTGGGTGCTGTCGGTGCCAAGAGCTGGAGATGTGCTTCCTTTTCTTCCTACCCTCTGCCTGGGATGCTTAAATGAAATAATTCATTCTCGCTGAACGTGTTAATGGGACAGTAATTAAATGCCATTGCTAAGCCATGCTAATTCCACTGCCTTCCCAGGCACCACCACTGCTTTTGCAGTGGGGTTTATTTAACTCAGAAATAATACTTGGCACTATTCCCATTCTTGAGATTGCATTGATGCTTTCACCAAGGGTTCCTATGACTTTGCAGAGCTTTCAAAAGTGCCTTGTAATTTCCGGGGTGTTAATTTATCCATTGGGGATCCAAAAGGATGCAAATGATGGTGCTGAGAACGTGGAGATGCTGCTGGAAATGAGACTGGCAGCTGCCTGGGGACATTGGCCCTGTTGTGGCTAACAATGTCTTTCAGCACTTATCTGGAAGTCAGTGAACTGTCCCACATTTTCCCAGAGCTACAGACAGCACCTGCACGATTACTGAGTGCAGTGGGGAGAACATGGCTGGATGATCACCAATAAATATATGTTTATGGAATAAAACCAAACGAGTGTATTTGGAAATTTTCAAGGTGTTGCAATATCATCTGAAAAGCAAACACTTTGTTCCTGCCACCTGTGTGATTAATTTCCCAGACCCAAAGGAATGCTTTTGCTTCCATCAGTGCAGTACTTCAGCTTCATGAGGGCGTGGGTTATTTTGCTGCAGGGAGTATTGGCATGCATTGTGAGACACAAATCTTCCATCAGAGCCTTGTTGCAGCACAGCACCACCTTAATGCAGATGGAGCAGGGAAGGACTCCTTGACAATTGAAGAAATGTGATGAAAGGAGAATTGCCAACGGCAATGAAAGCTTTTTATGGCAGAGTTGGAATATAATTGGTTTGATCTTTATGTTTATACGATGACAACATTCTGCCATTGACTCTTCCACGTTTGCTGATATGATTTTTCATATTTTCCCCCTGTTTCCAGCCTCCCCGGCCAGAAGATCTCTCAATTGTCTGTTTCACCAGTGGCACTACAGGTAAAGGAACTGGCATCTCATCTGTGAATTATTAGAACAGTTTATTGTTACTGATAACATCTCAATATGTGCAAATAGAATGTTACACTGTCGTGACAGTGGTGTTTGTATGTATTTGTAGTATTCATGTATATAGGTTTCCGTAGAGCTGGGCTTCCCTGGCTCACGCTTTGGCAGTACAACTGAGCAGTTTTCTGCAGAGCTGCCCGTGTTCCTGGCTCCTGTCCTGCAGTGCAGACATGGAGCACTTGGCTGGTTGCTTCCTACCTCCTGCAGGCGTTAAAGGGACAAATGCCTGCCTGCAGTGCTGTGCTCTGCCTCCTAAGCACAGCGACGTGCCCAGTGCCTCTGTCCTGCAGAGGATACCCCAAGCAGGCACTTAGTCCTCTCTAGAGCCTGTTTTCCTTGTAGCCTGCAGGACCTTCCTTCCCTCAAACACTCAACCTCCCCAACCTCCACCAAAAAGTCCCCCAGGCAGACAAAGCGATGGGCAGAGCGCAGCCCTGGGAGTGCTTGGGCAATGTGCAAAGAAGCACCAGGCAGCCCTGGAGACCTCATCCCACCACCTGGTGCTGCCTGGAGCACCCCCAGCTCCCCAGTGGGCAGGAACTGATGCTGTGTGATGGGAGAGTGACCAGCTCAGCCCAGGAGCATCGTCCAGCATGAGGAGATGACATACACTGCAGACAGGTAAGCAGCTTTCAGTACTGACAACCCTTTGCTGCTCGGTGCTTTCTTGCATCATTTCTCACTCTAAAAGGAGTTTGCAGATGTGTGAGTTTGGGAGCACTCAGCTCAGTGCGGAGCTGAAAGGAGCAGTGTTGGAACTGCAGCATGAGGGGCTGAGCCTGGGGAGGGCTGTGCCAGGCAGTGGCACCTCTTGTACTGGGGTTTTCATTGCAAAGTTAGGCTTTATTTCCATTAGAAAATGAGTTTGTTTATTTATCTGCAAACATGGTCACAGACTGGTTGGCTTTCTCCCACACAGTGCAGAGATTTCTGGTTCTGAAGGCAGAAGGACTGGCTCTGGGTAGCCCACGTTTGGGTATTTCTAATGACCAGATTGAGAGTTTCCTCCCGAGAAACAACTTCCCATGGGCTTTTCCAGTTCTGAAGGTTTTCAGTTATAGTTCTGTGACATAAAAGCAATCATTGCTCTCAAGTTTGTAACACGGAAATTGTAAAGTTGGAAGTGATTTTAGCAGCTTATCAAAAAAACAGACCTAACAACCAGAAACGGATTTGAAATGGATTTGAACACTTGTTTTTCTCTGCCAGGGCCAGCTGTCTGTGTGCCTCCATGGGGACAAGGGAGAGGCTGAGATCTCCGAGCTCGAGACAAACGTTCCATGCATTGCTGAGAAATCAGCAGCGCTCACAGATGGACCAAAGCACACAGATGAAACATCACATTACAGTTGTGCATGCTGGCTGCTCCCACACCACAGCCTGCTGCCCTCGTGAGGACTCCCCTGTTCCTGGTTGGATCAGAATCCCTTCCTGGAGCTGCTCAGCAGCCCAGCAATGCCTCTACTCCCGTTCATGGGTCACACAGCTGTGACACTGCTGGAGATGCTGGTGGGAAGAGCCACGTAGCAAGGCTGCTTTGTTGTGGATTGCTCCATCAGCCTGGCGCTGAGATAAGGAGAAGCTCCCACACCCGCCGTTATCAAAACGAGATTGCTGTGCTGCATTTCCACCATGGGATGGATGAAGTGCCTCTGTATGAGGAAATTCAAGACAGAGCAGCATCACAGCGTGGCACAGGGTTTAAAGAAGAACTAGCTTTGCCATTCCTAGAGCTTCTAGAGCTATTCCTCTAGAAGTGGTAACTCTGGGAAAGAACTCCCAGCAGGGAACGCTCCTCCTGCTGGGCTGATGCCTGGAGCAACAGGAGGAACTAAGCACAAATGGAGACAGGTACCCCCAGCCCAAACAGCTTCGCTCTGAACTGGATTTCTCCTGATGAAGTCTGAGGTCTCAGCATCTGAGGAATCTCCCAGAGAGCCCCCTGAGCACCCGTGGGTATGGAGATGCTTATGCAATGCTGGGGAGCACAGCTGTTTGTGCAGTCGCCAAGGCTCAGCAAACCTGCTTGGGCAGACACAGCTACAGAGGAGCAACGCCTGGGCTGCTGGCATGTGTTTGCAGCTGGCGTTGGTTTGTGAAGCTTTCCTGAGGGCAGGATCCAGGTGTGCAGCTGGCTGTGAAAACACAAGCCTCAGAGCAGCATCAGCAGAGGCCAGCACCAAGGAGGGATATGTGTGAGATCCCAACAGCCCCCACGGCCATCTGTAAGGATTTGGGACCGAATAACTCGAAGGCACTTGGAACACTGAGAGCAAACTTTGTGGTAAAAATAAGCTGTATTCAAAATGTCCTGTTCTAGCGCAATAAATGTGTGCAATAATTATTATTTTGGTTTGGGCCTTTATTTGCCTATAGGAGAGCTGGGTGAGGGCACAGGGCTCAGCACAGCAGAGATGCCTGCATCCTTCCCAGCAGCTCTTTTCTGCAATGGACCCTTTGGGGGCGATGCAAAGTGGCTGGGACAGGAGGTGGCAGGGCACTTTGCATGGAGCCCTGTGCTCTGTGCAGCCCAAGCTGTTGGCACACACTCTGGTGGCTCTGTTTGAGGGCCATCCACAATTCCAGCTGCTCTGTTCCTGGTGGAAACCACTGCTCAGGGTCACTGATGGAAAGATGTGCGTGGTGCTGAGCCTACGGGATCATTTTATTACATTTTGAGTATTGCAATAAATGCCTTTGGTGGATGCTACTGCATAGTGTGAGAATTAAATGTTTTAAATATAATTTAACAATATTATTTGGACAATTTCATGTTGGTTTGCTCGGTTTTAAGCTTTTGGAATTGTAGAACCATAGAATGGCCTGGATTGAAAAGGACAACAATGCTCATCTGGTTCCAACCCCCTGCTGTGTGCAGGGTCACCAACCAGCAGCCCAGGCTGCCCAGAGCCACATCCAGCCTGGCCTTGAATGCCTGCAGGGATGGGGCATCCACAGCCTCCTTGAGCAACCTGTTCCAGCATGAAATGAAGTGGAAATTAACCACTGTTTCATCTTTTAAGCTCTCCCTCTGTTCTTCCTTGCAGGAAACCCCAAAGGTGCTATGCTGACACATGGGAACGTGGTGGCTGACTTTTCAGGCTTTTTGAAAGTGACAGAGGTGAATACCGTGGTTGGGAAACTCACCGTGCGTGGGGTTGGGCTTCTGCAGGGGCTGGAGAAGTGGGGCTGTTGATGAGAGCCACGTTTCTCTTACCTGAAGGCCAATTCCCAGTCTGGGCTCTGTGAGGCACGGGGTGCTGCCGTGGAGCAGTGCTGTCCTCATGGACTGGTGTGGGGTGAGGAGAGCAAGCAGAGCCTGCAGGGCTGAGCAGGGGATGCCTGTGCAGCGTCTTTAAACAAGGCTTTCTACACATATAATATCTATATATATACCTATGGAAGCATATGATTTTTTAAGACCAGAATGGTTCATTTCATTTATGTTACCGTATATCTTGGTTTTGTACTGCAGCACTGGCCAAGTGCATGTATATTATATTTCATGCAACTTTTGTTTTGAAGCAGTACAGGAAGCAGACTTGCTCTAGCATAATATTAAGAATTGCATGCAGCTTGTACTTATTGAATATAAGAATCTCTGTTGGTAGCAAACAGATGGTTCTGTGAAGCCATAGCATGCATGTGGGATGCCCCATTTATTGCAGCACAGCCCTTGTTTGCCCTGGGGTTGGTGTGGGCAGTACTGTGCTCTCAGTTCCTCAACCTTGCAGTTTTGTCCACCTGCAGGTTGCTGCCAGGCTCATGCCATAGGGCTGAGCTGCCCCAGGGGTGCAGGGTGCACGAGTGGCTGCCAATGCCTCGAGGCTGCTTCCAAAGGGCAGCAGAGTTTATTTTGGAAGGGAACACCTCAGGGGAACGTGGTGCAACCCAGGGCTGTGGGCTCAGTGCTTGCTGACAGCAGATGCTTGTGTTAATCCCAAAGGTGTCGGGTTGAGGTGTCAGGCTGCTGAGTGTGCTCTGTCCTGGGGCACTGCAGGGTGAGCTGTGAGTGCAGCACAGATCCAGCAAAGTGCCAAGCACTTGGCATCTGCCAGCAACGTGTGAGCACCTGGAGTGAGGGGCACACAGATCACTGCTTGCACACTTTTGTGCCACTTTGGCTTAGTTCAGTCACTTTCCCAAGCAGATTAACATCTTTTTAAAGTTAACATAGACCTTTACTATAAGGTTATTCTCAACTGCCAAGGCACTGCTTTCATTTAATTTGTTTAGCTGCAGTGGCTGCAATGCCATTAAATGGCATCACCTTGGTTCTGTTTAAAAAGAAATCATTTTGTGCGTGGGCTTTTAAAGCAGCACAACAAAGCAGCATGGCTGGTGGTGCCAATGGCTTCACATCGCCAGAGCCCATTAGAACTAATGTATAAATAGAGCTGCAGGCCCAGCTGGCTTAGTTCAGGTGGACACAATCCAAAGTGGGATGCTGGAAAGGCCCACGTTTGGGCTCCCTGTGCACACGCAGCTGAACCTCAGTGAGGTGTGCCCAAGGAGCACATTTCCTCCACCATGGAGCAGCGGTTCTGGTACAGCCATAGAGGTAGACTGGGGTGTATCTGCCAATGTCAGGGGCCACCACTGCTGCATTCACTTTGCATTGGTTTCTGGCCTTGGTGCAAGCTGGTGGGTCATCAAGCTGTCCGTTTTCCTAATCCACAGCGTTATGGTGAGCTGCACCACTGACCATGCAGGCAGAAAGGCATGAACCAAGTAAGGCTCTTGGTGCAAAGCAATGACATTGGTCACTCAATTTTTGCATCATTTGTTGCCTTTCTTTCCTCAGTGCGCCTGTCTGTGGGGCAGTGCTAATGCACTGAAAATCCCATTTTAATCAAGAAAACGATGAGGAAACACTAACAGCAATCATTAATTTCTGTAAGCTAGGTGATGCCACATCCCCCGACCCAAATCAAAGCAATAACCGTGAGCTGTGATTGTGCCGACACTGCGCTCTGTGTCCATCTCCGTGCTCTGTTCTCCTCCCACTAACGCAGCTCCATCACTGCTGTGGCCCTAACGCTTCACCTCGTGCGCTGCTCCCTTCCTCTCTCGATGATCTTTCCCCTTTTGTTCCTCTTGGTGCCGTTTTTCTTTTTACCGTTTTATGACTCTCTTGTTGTCTTCCTGTCAGTGTTTCTTTCCTTTCTGTCTCCCATGCCCTCCACCTGCAGAAAGTGATCTTTCCGAGACAGGACGATGTGCTCATCTCCTTCCTGCCTCTGGCTCACATGTTTGAGAGAGTGATCCAGGTAAGCTCCTGCCCCAACTGACGTGGCCTCGTGGGGCCCCTTCTGCTTTCTTCCAGAGTCAGTGGTCTCCTACTTGTGAGGATGTTCACATTTCCTATTTGCCTTTAGCACACATGTTTGAGCGAATGGTACAGGTAAGGTCCTGGTGGCAGTGGAAATAGCCTTTTCTTTTTTTTCCACACCAAAAGAAATAAAATGAATAAAATACTAAATACCCACCGACACCGCGTAGCACTAAAACACCTGCACTCCTCAAGGGCGCCGGGTCACGCTCAGGGGGTAGCAATAATGGGAGCAAAGGCAGTTCTGCACCGTTATTTTCATCAGCTCAAATCCTTCTGATGCAGAAATATGCAGAACTCAGCAGGGAGCTGAGCCAGCACAGCACTGGGCATCATGCTCTGGGCATGGGCTGCATCCCCTGCAGATAGCAGTATGTGCATCCCCTGCACATAGCAGCTCACGGCAGCATGCAGAGAGGGCTCATACATCCCTTCTGGGAAACCAGGTGATGATTTGTGACAAAGTGCTCTCCCAGCCTGGAAATGTGGGAGCTAAGAAGTGATTCAGTGCACGAGGAGTAGGTCTGGGATCAGCTGCAGCCCAACACCTTCCCAGTGCTGATGGCAATGAAATTGGATGGACAGCCAGGCACAGGCCTCCCCTTCTTAGGAGTGTGCCAGAAATAATGCACTCAGCCCTGTTAAAGCACTTGCAAATTGGAACTGAAAGCCCATGAAAGATTTGGAGAATTACAACCCAGTGTATCCTTGCTTGTCAGTTGAACCCTAGCAGGCACGTGGGTCAGTGTGCCAGTGCTGCTCAGGCAAAGCACTTTGCTGCTAATGAGGACATAATTATTACAAAACCATCTGCCTGGGCAGGAATAGAGAATCTTTTGAATAATCTCATTGCTGCTGTGCTGATAGGAGCAGCTCCAAAGCACGCGGTATGAGGAACGCTCAGGTTAAACTCCTGCTGAAAACACTCCTTCACGCAGAGAATTTTCTAAAGAGCTTAAAATCATCCCCAAAATTATTCCAAGTGACAAACACTGTGCTTCCCCAGTTTTAGCCCACATCAGTAACTCCTGGGACTTGCAGTTGAAGTTGTATAGATATGTTCTTTAGAGCTAGAAGTGCTTCAGAATAGAATTTTAGACTTCAGAGTAGAACTGTCCCATTGAAGGTACCCACACAGGTCACCATTTGCAGTTCTCAGTGAGCCTGCAGTGATGGCACAGTGGTGCAATTCCAGCTCCAGCGAGGTGGCTGCTGGCTGCCCTGCTGCTGGCACATCACAGCTCTGCTGCACGTCAGCTCTTCCCTCACCTGATGCAAAGCAGCCCGTTTGTTTTCCAAAAACATCCTTCCAAAACAAATGCAAGCTTAATTCTGAAGCTTCTGGAGCTTCTGAACTTTCCAGGCAATCAAAGCGTCTCTGAAGAGGAGTTCCTGGGATACAGGATCAGGCACTGTATTGCTAACGTAGTCTGCACCGTTACGCTTAAACAAAACTAAAGTATTAACATCTAAAAACCATCAGCACGTTTCGCAGCGTGCAGAGCCCAACTCCAGGCTTTTCCCCTGGCAGCAGCTCCTCGTTCTTCCAGAAAGTGGCAAATTTGGTGGATGCTGAGTTCCCAGTTCTGAAAATGCCAACAACCATCCGTGCACTTCCGCTCTGTGCAAAACTAACCTTTGTGTGGATAGATCTTTTCAAATCACCATTGTTGCCATACTGGAGAGCGAAATTTCGGGGGAGGCATTTCTGTGCATAGGAGGGATGCTCTGCCCCGGGGGTTAAAAGCAAAGAGGTCTGACTTGGTCGTTTTCCTCTCCATCAGTCTGTAGTGTATTGCCACGGAGGGCGAATTGGCTTCTTCCAAGGCGACATCCGCCTGCTGTCTGATGACATGAAGGCGCTGCGTCCCACCATCTTCCCTGTTGTGCCGCGCCTGCTGAACAGGATGTACGACAAGGTGAGCCTCGTGGCTTTGCTTTTTGCTATGACGAGGATTCTGTCCCTCCCTCCAGATTATATCCAAAAAAATTCCTTCTTTTCTCCCTCCTGCCTTGCACCCTTTCTGCGCTGAGGCATAATCACTCAGCTGCGTTGCTGCCATCCCTGTGCCCCAGCTGAGCCACACAGCTATAGGTGCGCAGTGCGGGGGGTGGCACTGAGGGCTGTGATTTGGCAGCAGGCTGTGCATTGGGTTGATAGCTGGAGTTGTGAGCCCCAGACCCCCCCCTGGCTCACCCAACCCACTCTGCTCTCCCTGCTGCAGATCTTCAGCCAGGCAGACACCTCCCTGAAGCGCTGGGTGCTGGAGTTCGCCGCCAGGCGGAAAAAGGCTGAGGTTCGAAACGGCATCATCAGAAATGACAGCCTGTGGGACAGGCTCTTCTTTAACAAAATACAGGTATGGGGTTTAAAAAGCGACTCTAAGGTCAGAGAACTGTCATTTCTTCTAGTAGCAACCTGTGCTCCCTGAAGTCGGCACAGTCTGCCTGTCTGACCACCATACTGCAGCCAATTGCTGCTCACCAGTGAATGGGAGACTGAAAAACCGAATAGGAAAAGGAAACGGAGCACAGTTTGTCATTGCATTTACTTTTGCTGCTTTTCTATTTGTATCTATGCTCGGCACACCAATCTGGCCCAATGGGCTCGGCAGCACAGAGGGCGTAGGGTTCTGGGTGGGAGTCACTAGGAGAGAAGAGGAATAAGGGATAGAAGAGACTTTAATGCTCTGCAGATCCTCCACTGATAATGATTGCTCTCAGGGTTGGTTTTCACTCAGGCAAACTCAAAGCTGATGTTTTCTGAAGGAAAGCAAGAGCGAGCAAAAGCCAGTAGAGCAAAATGCAAATGTGAATCTTGATTTAATAAGAGGTGCACTGCCATGTGCCACGCATCCCCTGGGTAATAAAGCAGATTAAAGTGGCTTTACACCAGGCTTTCCAGGCACCGTGCTGCTGTAGGAGGCTCTGATTACTTCATTTTTTAATTGGATAACTTATTTGGAGACACGCTGCCTCATTTATAACCAGAGGAACTGGCAGTGCCTTCCATGGGGCTGGGCAGGGGCAGCTCTGTGCTCGTTCCTTTTTGCTTTCACGGAGAGAAAAATGAAATGAAGGGAGGTGGGCAGGAAGCAGCACAGGAATGCTGTAGTGCCCCCTAAAGTATGTGCAGGGTCATCCGTCCTCAAAAAAGGGTGGCATTGCTTTGGGTTGCTTGGGAGCCTGTTCACAAAAAGGTGCCAGCAAGCACAGAAAAAAAGCAGTGGGGAAGAGACTGATTCTTCCCCAGGGTTACCTCACCTTAGAAGTGCTGCAAGAGGACGTGGAATGGATGCGATGGAGCAGAGCTGTGCCTTGGGCATCATTTCTGCCCAGGAGGGGCACAGTCTGCTTCCAAGATTTAGCTGGGTCTTGTTCCTAAGGCAAGACTCAGGGTCAGTTCACATTTCCGTAGTACAGCTGGCTGTTCTAGAGGGAGCAGAAGTGAGGCCATTCAGTGCAAGCTCTGCTTAAGAAACACACACAATTCGTGCCGTCTGTACAGATCCATGCTGTTTCCTTCTGTTTTCTGGTGCTGTCCTGCAGGCGAGCCTCGGTGGGTGCGTCCGCATGATCGTGACGGGTGCTGCCCCAGCCTCTCCAACTGTCCTGGGCTTCCTGCGGGCAGCCCTGGGTTGCCAGGTGAGCCAAGGGCAGGGCGCTGGGACTGCGTATGGGGCATCCGTGGCAGCAGCAGGGCCTGTGGGCACCCAGCGTCCCCATGGTGGGGACAAGGGTTGACCTCGGGCACCAGGAGCTGCTGAGACATCCTACGTGTCTTAGCTCTTAAAACCATAGAGTCATTAAGGTTAGAAAAGGCCTAAAAGATCATCAAGTCCAACTATAGGATTGTAGAATCATTAAGGTTGGAAAAGACCTCTCAGATCCCCAGGCCCAGTGCCAGCCCACCCCACTGTGCCCACTGGCCTTCAGTGCCACATCCCCATGGTTCTGGAACACCTCCAGGGATGGTGACTTCCATGCTCCCTGGACAGCTGTGCCAATGCCTGACTGCTCTTTCAAGAATAAATTGTTCCTAATAGCCAACCTGAACTTGCCCTGCAGCAACTTGAAGCCATTAAGCGTGTGTCATTTATTACACAACTTTTATTCCATGTGTCAGAAGCCTGACCTGCAGGCATGGCACTTCAGATCCCCACCCTTACTGGAGAGTTTCTTCACCCTGACCAGGAAGTCCAGGACAATTACAAAGCCTCATTCGAGAGCTTAAAATTAAATGTAAAAAAAAAAAAAACTTGCAAATTTCCAGAATGTCCCCCCAAAATACCACTTTTCTTTCCCACTGACCACTTCCTGCTGCCAAGTAACATCCTGCTAGACTCAAAAGCAAACTGCTGGACTTGTCTGCTCGCTGTTTTCAGCTCTCCATAACATTGTGACTCATAGGAAAGGTAGTTCTGCAGGGCCAGGGAAAGTCCCCATGCCCCGTCCTGCCGCTCACACAGGATCAGCTGGCAGGGCTGTCCCTGCAGCAGTGAGGAGCTGTGTGTGCTGACTCAGGGTGCCCATTCCTTTGGCAGGTGTACGAGGGGTATGGGCAGACGGAGTGCACGGCGGGCTGCACCTTCACCACCCCGGGGGACTGGACCTCAGGTAATGGGTTTTCCTCCTTTTCCACATTATTTCAGCAGACTGAATTCCTACAGGAAGGCCAAGCGTATCTGCAGCCACGCAACTAATAACAAAATGCCAATTATTGTTTGTAAGAGAGCGGACAAACGAGCTGCCAACTTTAATTGCCAGGTCATGTGGGAGCCCCTTTGCCCTGCAATTTAATCAGGCTGAAGGACGTGGAGGAGCTGAATTACTTTGCTTCTAAAGGAGAAGGAGAGGTAGGAACTCACATTTTAATATAAAACTCTTATTAGCAGACATTGTACTAAGTTGTAGCTATAGAAGCATTGTTTGTCTTTGAGGTGCACAAGTTTATTTAATACAGCCATCAGGGAAAGAAAGCATCAGTTCACTAACAGAGCAGTGAAGCATTGTTAACAAGGGGCTGTGGCAGCACTGCCAGCCAATGCCACGCCTGATTACTTCAAAAGCTAAGGCTGAGTTAATTAGTTTGGCTATGGAGCTGAATTACTGTGATTACTCCATTGCTATCATTTCTGTATTGGGTAGAAATCAAACTTATTGAAATCACTTTTTTTTTTGCTTTTAAACTGCAAGCCGAATGAAAGTCAACATTAAGCCAGTGGGTTTTGTATTTCTTCCTTCATACATCCTTTGTTTGAAAAATTCCAAAAATAAATAAAAAAGAAATTATAGCTCAATATATTTTACTTGCATGGGTCACAGTCACAAAATCAACCTTCGGCATACGTCAGTGAATCACTGTTTAGCTTGCTGGTAACCTCAGCAAAATAATGATGTAACTGAATAGCATCCTGACCTGCTTTGCAGATATGCGTGAAAGGACCAAATGTTTTTAAGGGTTATTTGAAAGATGAGGAGAGGACGAGTGAAGCACTGGACCAGGAGGGCTGGCTGCACACCGGAGACATTGGGAAGTGGCTACCTGTACGTATCCAGATGAGTGGTGCCTGTGTCAGTTGTGCTGTCCCATGCACACACTCGAGTTCTGCATGTGACCTTCCAAGCAGATCTATCCTTAGTAAAGATTAAGCTGAATTTTGGCAGAAGAAAGGCGCTTTCTGGCCATGTAAGCTGTTGTATTTAGAGTGGACTGGCTGAGCTGCTGTGGTTAAATAACCTCTCTGGGAACTCTCACTTCTTTCTCCTAACAGAATGGGACACTCAAAATCATCGATCGGAAAAAGCATATATTTAAGCTTGCTCAGGGAGAATACATTGCACCAGAGAAGATAGAGAACATCTACATCCGCAGTGACCCCGTGGCCCAGATCTACGTCCATGGAGACAGCCTGCAGGTACAGCAGGGCCACCAGAACATGCTGCAGCGCGTTGGTGAATTCCTGACCTAATTGGGCAAGAAGTGATAAAATCCCATCAGCCTGACAGTGCATTTGGTGCAGAGCATTAAGCCTTTGTCTGACCTTTCTGCTCTCCCTGCAGGCCTTCCTGGTGGGAATCGTGGTGCCGGATGCCGAAGTGATGCCAGGCTGGGCAAAGAAGAGAGGGTTTGATGGAACGTATGAGGAGCTGTGTAGAAATAAGGTTGGTTGTTGCACCTGCTCTGCAGTCGCTGTGCTGAGGTGGGGTGATGTCCCTTCTCTGGGCAAGGACCATCTGCTCACTGAGGTCAGAGTGATGGTTGAACCAGCAGCACTCAGTGTTGTGCCTGTCCTAAAGCGCTAGCATAACCTCCTGTACTGTTAGCATTTGTGCCTTTCTTCGTTAGAATAATTGCTAATTACGAACTGTCCACAGGGAGCTTGAACTTATCTCTGAAATGTGTGTGCTCGTGATGAACAGTGATGTTAATTGCGTGTAAGGTTTGTGGTATTTCATGCTGGATGTGTGTGTTTTAACCCAGGAACTGCAGAAAGCAATAATGGAAGACATGGTACGGTTAGGGAAGGAGAGCGGGCTTCATTCCTTTGAGCAGGTAAATGAAACAATTAATTGTGGCCACTTTGGCCTTGGTCTGCCTACACCGAGCAGGGATTTGTTAGCATTCAGTATACTGCATGTCCTCGTGGGGTGTGGGTGACATCTGCAGTCTGATATCAGGGTTCAAGATGGATGCTTTGAAAACTGGCTCCTTCCTTGAAGGCACTGCAAGGAACTGGGGCTCAAACTGCCACTCTTATAACCAACATAGGGCAAGCTGCTGTCTTATTTCCAGCCCATGCACTGGTCCTTTTCTGTTGCTTGTGCATAGAAGCACCTCAGGGGGAGAGATCTGAAATCAGTAATGAAGTACAGAGCTCTAAAAGCACATTAAAAACAGTTTTTATAATATAAAATACTTATTTATCTTAAAATAATGAACTTCCCAATCATTACGTATAGCTAGCAAGGGGCTTTTACTCTCATATTTCCTCTCATGCAGTCTGTTTCTGGGTGGTAGCTCCAGTGAACAATTCCCCACATCTGAGTGAAGCAGAAGCAGCATTAAGCAGAGACTTGCTATTCTTCATTTCCCCACTGTGCATGCAAATGAACCTATATTAAAAAGAATCGAGTTCAGAAATGAAAAGCAAGAGTTTGCAGTGCACATTTACCCGTGGTCATGTCTGGTTTGCTCCTGCTGTGAACCTTTGGTTTCATGCAGAAATAGAGGTCCACGTGCACACCTAGAGTCGTGCATAGCGACTGAGGTCTCTGCTACAGATGTGTCCCTTTCCTCATTCCAGGTCAAAGCCATTTACATCCACTCCGACATGTTCTCAGTACAGAACGGTTTGTTGACGCCGACATTAAAGGCTAAGAGACCAGAACTGAGAGATTACTTCAAAAAACAGATACAAGAGCTATATTCCAGCATCTCCATCTGAAACCACGGGAAGAACCTTCCGAGTAACGGACTTTGTAGCAATATTAGGATAATGCTCAAAACTACAGAGCCAGAATGACACAGCTGAAGCGGATGAGCATCTGAATCTTGCGTCTGAGCCTTTTCTTGTTTTAGGATTTCACCACTAACCACCATTTCCCTTTTCCTTCTGTTTTTCATCGGGTTTGATATCAGTTTTATTCTATGGACACAGCAGGGCACCATCAAGAATTATGCTAAATTGCCACAAAATATACAGCAATTTCAATCCATGACCGAGGAAATTATGGAAACTTATTAATGACTATGAGCATTTCAAGACTAAACTGGGGAAAGTTTCAGATATGTCTGTTGATATTTGATTGTAAATAACCTACACGTCAGAGACTGAAATTGTGGATAAATCAGTACTGTGGTCTACCTCAAGCTATCGGCGACTGATGGTGAAAGCCTGTGTTCTGTGGTCTGTAACTCTGAGCTGGATATCGGTTTGTATATTAAGTGATAGTTTTTATGTTTTCCAGGATGTAAATTCCATCAGTTTGACTTAATCACTAACAACCTAACAGCCAGAATCGAAACAAGAACAAATCTGGTACTTGTGCTCAGCAGGCCTCTCAGTGTGTGACACCTAATGGACAACCGCTGCTTGGGATCCCGACAACGTGTTGGCAGTGCTGCAGGGCAGGAGCCCCCAGCCCCCTCCAGCTGAGCCCAGCACCTCCTGCACGGCCATTTCAGGCAGCCCAGAGCCCCAGGGATGCTGCAGCACAGCAAAGCAAGGCCTGCATGAGAGTCACCTGTGTCTGGTCCTTGGTTTATTACTTTGCAGCCTGGTTGGGCTGGTTCCATTTTGGAGCATGTGGTGTGAGCAGAGCTGGGCAACGTGGGTCTTGTCTGGAGAACAGCTGGCCTGGGATGCAGCCATGCTGGAGAAGAGGAGGAAATGTTGCTCCATGTGGCCATGAGGACAATTCTGGCCCCAAAATGTTGGAGGGAAATGCATTGGATGTGGGTGCTAGGAAAGCACTTCCACGTGCAGATGCTTGGATCCACTTATCACCTGCATTGACCTCTCTGCAATAAGCAGCAAGTTTTGCAAGGAAATACGGGATCCATGAGGAGCCATTGGAAGGGGCCTGGATTGGAGGCTGGAGAGCAAACTGCCAACAAAAGCACAGTGCAAAGCAGTGAGAAGTCATGAGATCAGGGAGTGTGAGCACTGGGACCGCTAAACCTGGCCCTACATCCATCTCTGTGCATTACCAGCTGCTGTGTGCTGCACCAGCACCATGGGGCTCTGTCTGCTAGACCTCTCTTGCTAGGGCAGCAAAAGCACACGTTTTTCACCAGAGGGTGGTGAGGCACTGGCACAGGTTGCCCAAGGAGGCTGTGGATGCCCCATCCCTGCAGGCATTCAAGGCCAGGCTGGATGTGGCTCTGGGCAGCCTGGGCTGCTGGTTGGTGACCTGCACACAGCAGGGGGTTGGAGCTGGATAAGCATCGCGGTCCTTTTCAACCCAGGCCATTCTATGATTCTCCCTTAGACTGGAAGCCACTGTAGACTCTTGAAACTAAAAGATAAATTATTAATCCAACGTCTCTCTCATTTCCCCTCTGAAATCCCACTGCACGCTTTAAAAATTAAATAAATTGAATTAATGGGTTAGTTTTACACATAGGCTGATTTATGGCAGTAATTTCAGAACAAAGAGAAAGGAAATTGTTAGCATAATCACTCACGCACAGAACGAGGCGATTTGATCTATCAAACGTGGGAGGGTTGGTCTGAATCCCATCTGTGCCTGATTCTTCATCAGATTCCAACCTAATGATTCATATCGGTTGAAAGCAAGTAAGACAAATCGCTGCTGTGACCTGACGGCGTTGGACCTTCATTTCTCATCACTGTACACAGCAAGAGAGCCCCTGGGGAGTCTGAGCGTGGGGTGTGCAGTACCAGAGGCAGTCTGGCTCTTTAGGGCAGGTCATGCAGGAGTCTCATCCTGGAGGAGTGCAGCTCATCCCATCTGTGGAGCCCAAAAGCAGTCATCACATACAGATGCTTCAGCACAACGAAGGACCTGGCACCATTTCCTCTCCTCTTTTTTGAATAACAGCAAATATCTGTCATCTAAGTAAGTACAGGAAAGCTATTTTCTCCTGACCTGTTTCTACCGCATGAACTGTAGGATGATGCAAAATCTGGGGAAAAATCTGGGGGAAATTCAACCCTGAAGTGTGAATATTTTCAGAACTTGCGACAAGCTGTAGGAATAAACCAACAGCTGCCTCTGTTACTTTCTCATGCCATCAGATATTGCCCCGCAGATGACTCTCCATAAGCATACCAAATATTATGAGATTAAAAGTTGCCGTGAGTACATGAGGAAGGCATGAGCCAGGCAGAAACGCTTCTCCCCGCCTTGCAGCAGTGTTTGTTTTGCTTTGAGCTCTCTCCAATCGCTGCACTTCTTGCGAGCAGCAGGGAAAAACCCTGGGGTTGTCCACTAAATCAGTTTGTTCTTCTCTCACGATAACCAATGTCAACACTCATTTCTAATGCTTTCTTACTGAAAGAGTTGGGACTCATTGCTATTGCATAGATGGCAATGCATGCTATGCTTCTCTGTAAACAGCGCTGTTCTTGATGGCTTAAAGATGACTGTATGTAAGTACTCAGTGTCCTTGGGGCATTAACTCTGCAACCGAGTAAATGTGACAAGAGAAGCCCTCTGAAATTGGCACAGCTCTGCTGCTGCTGCAGGTGGGATCTGTGCAAAAACATGCTTGCTTTGAGGAACCATGTGTGACCAGGTAGTTTTACAGCCCCTTCCCCAAAGGCTATGCGTGCTGCAGCCTGATCTGTTGTGTTCTTCTATGTATCCAAAACCGGAGGTTCTTCCTGGGCCTGGTGCTATGCCTGTCGGATCGCTGGAACGCTGCCTCCGGTGATCACAGATGGAAGTCAGAATAAAATACTTCTTCCAGGAAGAGCAAATTGCTTAGTTATATATTTTGTATGTCCTTTGCTCAATATATTGCACAGAAAAGACACACTAAAGTGTGAGCAGGAACCGTGAGACAGTCTCAATGCCAGGCTGGCAGGAGATGTGCAGAACAGGCACGCCTGCAGGCTGACACGGCTCACACAGCCCAGGTGAGAGCTGTAGGGGATGGATGAAGTCCTGTCCTGCAATCTGTCACCACTGTTACTACGGATATATCAGCATCAGCAAAATCCAGGGTCATTTCTGCCACGGTTACGAATCCTTGCACAGAACAGAACGATCCGACTTTTCCAATCTCCCGGGACAAAACAAGTTAAAGGATTTGTTATTTTCCACGCGTCAGAAGCACAAACTGATGATCTATCTGTAAATACATCGCTACAAGATGAATGTATACTGGGAAAGAATATACTATTTTTGCATGGTGGCTGATAACTTAAAGACCTCTCGATGCCTTACGCACACTTCAGCAAAGCGTTTTATTTACAGGCAATTCTCTCTGCGTAGTTCTTGTTCCTTTATCTCACTTTGATCCCGTCTGTGGAAAAAACACACACCAGAATTGGATCTTTGGTTGTTCTTGGAATTCACTTTCTTCAGTACCTGGCACGTTCCATGGTTTCCACGCCACATTTTCTCCCATTAAATGGTGAGACTGAGCCTATTCGTTATGGGGGAGAAATCCATATTCCTGGATAACTGGAGAGAAACAGCTTCAGATGTATGGAATTGTTGCAAAATAAAACATTTTGAGGCACCCAGAGTCCTTTTAAGCCCTTCATTTCAGTTTTGTTATGTATTTTAGCAAAGTACAAGCAGCAAACGAGCGATGCGTTCTGTGAGTGCTGCCTATTCTGGAAGTGAAGGGATGAGGATGTAACATAAACATCTGTGTAAGAAAACACACTGATTTTTTCCACGTTGGTACTTGGGTGTGTACGTCAAAAAGTCATCTGTGGAAACTTTTGTAAAGAATTAAATGGTCCTGTTTCTCAAATCTCATGGGCTGGCATACAATAAAGGCTCTTTGTAAGACCTGATGTCTCTCCAGCACTCTGTTCTCACCATCGATCTGAACTTGTTCAGAACGTGTGCCTACAGGAAACGTGTCATGAAAACCCAGTAAATAACAACCAAAGCAATGCTGGAACCTGAGATTGACTTTAGCAATCATCTATACAAACAAACAAACAAACAAACACAAAAACACAACATGTATGTTGCAAAGTTCTCTGAAGACTCAGCATCCTTGTGTCATGGTTTTGTTTCTTATTTTAAACCAATAGCGATACAACAAAGCGTGTGTGCTTGTTTCATGTGAACTGACTGCTGGGAATGCACGGTGTGTTTTGGGACCGCGTGGCTCAACAATAAAGTCTAAAAGCTGTCCATCTCTGCTCTGTTCTTCTGTGCTGCGCTCACCGGCCATCCCGCAACGCCCAGGGATGCTCTGTATTTTCTTGCTGGTGGAACAATGAGATTCTTCTGCGTATGAACACGACTCGGGGTCCCGCGAGCCGCAGGGTTGGGGCGCACAGCTCCGCCATGCCCACCGCCCCGCCGCACAGCCTGCGCTCATCAGAGGAGCCGAGCAGCAGCCCCGGCCCTCAGCCCGGAACACGGATAGAGGCGGGGCCAGGCAGGATTTTGCTCGGCAAGCGGCACGCTTTCAGCGCACTTCTTTTTCACCAGAAACCAGTGCTGGGGTTCGGCTTCGAGAATCTCAGCACCACCTTTGTGCCTTCTGTCTGCATCCTCGCACCCTCCGTTTCTCCCTAGCGGGCTCAAAACGCCGAACAAATCTCCCCGTGCCGCGGTTGTTTATTGCCACCACCCCCAAAAACCAACTCCGCCTCCCCCCCGTTTAACCTCCCGGCGCCCGAGATGCGCAGCTATTTTCTCCGCACGCAGCACAGCGCCGCCTGGCGGCTGCCGAGAGCAGCTACTGCGCATGCGGGCTGCGGGACGGCGGTTGGGGCCGCTCGGGGCTTCGTGAAAGGGCGGCGGGGTCGGTGCGCGGCCCAGCGGGGTTGGGGAGGGGGAAAAGAGGCTCGCCATGGAGCGGCCCTTCTGGAGGAGCTCGGCTTGGGGAGGGAAGGCCCCGCGGAAGAAGCGGCGTTCGTCCCCGCTGCCCGGCGAGCTGCCCACCGCGGGGCGCTCCGGGGCGGCGCAGTGCCGGCGGCGGCTGTTCGGCAGCGTGCGGCGCGGGGAGCCGCAGCCCGGCTGTAAGTGCGGTGTGCGGCACTGGGGGCAGTGCTGGGGTCGGTTGTGGTGTTGTCCTGGCTGAGTGGGACGGAATCCATTTAGAATAAATATCCCTTTAGCTTTGGCGTAGCAAAAGTTGTTCCCAAAGTGCTTTTATTATTGTTATTACTATTGTTCAAAGGGCTTCTGGAATATCTGAGGGATTTCTAGGGTATTTCCTAAATTTGGCTGGTTTTTTTTTCTTTGGTTGGCATACTGATGAGGCAATAAATGCATGGGTGGGAATAAGCTAAATCCAGGCTTTGTGGTGTGTGTGAAAACAGGGCTAGAATTGCTATCAGCATCAACAAGTGGGAGCGTTTCAAGGTGCTGCGATAGAAATGCTCATCTCATTCCTGTTGCTGAATACTTGTTCTTCCCCAGGCCCAAAGGGAAAATGCGCTGTGAAAACCTTACCAAAAATCAAGGAGAATCTTGAAGTCACCCAAGGGAGCCCCTCCTCCAACCAAAGGTCTGCTGGAACGCTTTCATATACAGAATTATCACTGGTTTATCGCTGTTTTGCCTGCCGTCTGTTGTAAATGCAGTCTGGGTGCTGGATGGGCTGATGCTGGGCAGGGGTTGGGCTGTCAGCTCCCTCTGCACAGTGCAGCTCTATGGATTGAGCTCTGCTCTGCTTTTCAGTTACAGCACTCAAGTGAATGTGAAAGAAATGCTGTTCTTGGGAAAGAATGAAGAGGATGTGGAAGGCAGCACGGTGCTGCTGAAGGTGAGAGTGCTGTTTTGTTCTAACACTGCTGATGTGTGAAGGGTAAATTAAAAGATGTGACAGAATCATAGAACAGCCAGGGTTGAAAAGGACCACGATGCTCATCCAGCTTCAACCCCCTGCTGTGTGCAGGTTGCCAGCCACCAGCCCAGGCTACCCAGAGCCACATCCAGCCTGGCCTTGAATGCCTGCAGGGATGGGGCATCCACAGCCTCCTTGGGCAACCTGTGAGTGAAAAACTATCCAAATTAATGGATGTTCGTTGTGAGTTTTATGGCTGTAAGTCAGCTTCAGGTCTGTTATTGGTGCGTGAAAAGCAGTGGTGCAAACTGTGCTCTGAATAGCAAGTTTAAGTGATAAAGTATCACGTAATCAGTTCCTGAGTATCTGTTATTGCAGATGTGCTGGCATTGATTGCACTTAATGCAGTCTAGACTTAATGTCTAGATCTGGTTTTCTTATGTTCTTTGTATTGATTGTTTAATTTTAGGAATCTCCAGAAATCAACTTTGAAAGTAAAGAGAGCCTGAAAAACACTGATGTTACTTCAGGTGAGTGTAGTGATTGTGCATCGTGTTATGGAATGTGCTTTTGTGTCTGTATAGAGCAACAGGTAAAAATGAAAATTGGGTTTCAATGATTCAGCATGTGCTTGGTTCACATGAGCTGAGTGTAAGCAGCCAACAGCACAGGAGGTGTTCCAGGCAGGTGTGTGCACAGAGTGCTTCAACTCTTATTTGTGACAAGAGTTCTTTCAGAAGATGAAAAAGTGCTGATCTCAAACTGCTTGGGCAGGTGTTTATTTTAAAGTCTTTTGAGAACTGCCTGGCTTCCTTATGAAGGAAAAACAGAAGAGAGAAGGACCAGTAACAGTGTGTGTTGAGAGGATTGCTGCCACAATTGAGGCAGCCTTGAGCCCAGCCCCTTTTAAACCACATCATAGTGATTTTGTTGTTGAAGAGCCACTTTTCAACATGAGTTCTTCAATTTACTTAAAGGTACACTTTTAAAAGCGTAAAAAAAAATGAAGTGTGTGTGTAAAGTGATGCAGTTCATTTGAAGCTGCCTTTTTTGCCTCTCCCTCCAGGCACGGGGATGACTCTTCCTACAGGTGTTTCAGATTTTCTCCTCGAATGTTTAGATGCAGATTCTTCTGCAGATCGTGACACAGTTGCTACTGACACCACAGAAAGTTTCCCATCCCCTGAAACGTTAAGAGATGAGGAACCTTCAGGTGAGGCTTCTTTGTTTGCTTGATGCTGGAAAGATTGAGGAGGTTGGAGTAGGAGGGCCAGTAGCCTCTGTTGGTTGTGACTCGCTGGGTCAGAGCTTTGCTGTGAGCCACCCTGTGCTTAATGTGCAACCTGGGTACCTGGTCCTCCAATGCAGAGTGAATGCAGGCCTGATATCATTCGAATCATACTTTCAACTTTAAGTATCTGCACAAGTCGTTTGCTGGGGGTGACTGATTAGTTTGCTTTGAGCTGAATTTCTCCCAGCCATTTCTGTATGTTTGGACTAAGACGATGCTTTTGCTATGCTGTGAAGTCTTGCAAATGAGATTTCTGTCACTTGGTAAAAGTTGAAATAGCTCAGTGAGTTTTAGTGTGAGAAGCTTGTGCTTCTATCTTCTGTGTGCAGGGGCAAGTAATCCTGACTTCGAGGACTTTGTGAAATGCAAGAACTCCACTCTTCTGGACTGCAGCAGAGCAGTGGCCATAGATAAGATACTACAGATATCAAATCTTTCACCAATATTAGGTAAGTAGTCTATAAATAAGCAAATATCACTGCAGTGCAAGGAACGTTGTGTAATGTGTAAGGATTATTTTATTTAATGGGGAACAGCTCCTTGTTCAAGTTCTGTATTCGCTTTTAATGTTTTGCTTTATAGTGTGTATAAAACGAGGCCTGGCTCGCTGGGCTTTTTCTTTTAATGTTTAGATTTATGTTTTTCAGAACCTGTATTGGAAGATTGTAAAGACCAGTGCATAAAAAGGTAATCTGCAAAGCAGGCCGATGCATCAGAATGCTCAGATTTCTCTATTATAAATAATATTTTGGGCAATATGAGTAAGCCTGTGATCCTGCAAATGTGTCTGGTGAGTTTCAACTGCCCGTGTCCCCACCAGCTTTAAAACTGGTGCATGAAGACTAGCAGGTATGGGTTTTCTTAATAGGCTCCTGCTTCACTATTGGAGCTGCAGGAAAATCAGTGCGACAAAGCTCAGTGCAGGATTTGATGGAGCTGACACTTATCTATCAAGCCCATAAAATTGGCTTTTGCCACTGACACTGATTCTATCAGATTGCCTTCAGTTGCAAAGATTGGCTGGCAGTGCAGGGATTGCCTGTGCAGTACAGGGCATGAGGAACTCCTGCTGTCAGCTCCTGGTCGTGCTGTGGGCTCGCAGAGGACAAAGCCAGGTTCTGCACCTTTTCTGTAGGACTCATTAACTAATATGAGACACTTCCAAAGATTACTGAATGCAGCCTTTATGAATCTCAGGCCAGGTTCCTACCTACTGTCTGGTTGTTCTTTTCCTTTTAGTTTTATTTGCAGTATGTTTTTTTCCTTAACGAGAAGAACGGTGCATGTGAAACCCCTTTGTTGCTCTCCTTATTGTTAGGATGCCAGCTCTGCTATTGACAGATCATCTCTATTAAGTGCTTTTTGTGTCAGTGATTGTCCTCTGTAGCTTTTAAATTGCACATATCTTTAGAGTAAGTGCTGTTCCTGGGTGTAGACGATGAACTGTCTGATGAACAAGCTGTAACTATGTTTAGCAATTTTTTTTTTAGCCAATTTTCACTCAGGCTCTATTTGTTCTTTGATTTCCTTGTATGTTTTTTGATGAATGTTAACATCCATTGAGAGCAGCTCACTTTTTTTCTCCTCCCCCCAGAAAGAGACCCAAATGCAATTACAGTTCTTCAGAACTGAGTGTTTCAACTACTGTGGCAGGTAAAACACCACCAGCTGAGGGCAGTTTGGACTAGAAGGGGAAGTGTGAGTTGAAGATCCTTCCTGCAAATAACACTTGACTCATAACAAATTAGT